ACAGTATAACAGAGCTATATGATGAGAGGAGAAATTAAAACATAACTGATTTTTAAAATTTCCTCGAACAAAGCTTTCGACTAGCGGGTTTCTAGTAAATAATAAGTTAATGAGTATAAACTATGGTATGTTGGTTTAATTAAGCATTTGATATAAATTATCGTTCAAATAAAAAGAAGCTATTCTGAAATGTTAGAATTGACCCGTTGCCCAATACAAATTTTAAAGAAAATATTTCCAACTCTATACATAAAAGGAGAGTATAATGCTTTGCAGGGGTGTAGGAAGCAGGGGGGGGGGGGGCCAATTGCCCCCCCCCCCACCCCCATAAAATCTGGGCAAGGGGAAACATTTTTATCCAATGCACTGCACCTGCAAGCCTGAACTGCGATCATCAACACAAGAAGCGTTGTTGCGACTCCAGAGGACATTGCTGCAAACGAATATTGTTGTTTAGCTACCACAGGCACTTTCCTAGAAGATTGAGGGCACTTTCAAAAACATCTGTCACGGAAAAAATTTTAAAATTTGTCAAAAATCAGATTTTGTGGCATAATTTGGTGGATAATTTTTGGAACGGGATGAAACTTCAGATATGGTGTGCTAAACCCTAACCTTTACTATCTCCACTTTTTGTTTCGATTTAGGGCTAAATCTGGTGGATAAAAGTGAAACAGACCGATCCACTTCAGGTGGGCCTTTAAAAATATTTAATTCCATCTAAACTCCTAAAATTGATTGAGACTTATAAATAATCGTTATAACTTCACAATTTCATATGTTAGGCCGGGATTTTTTTTAAGGGCCAAATTTGGTGGATATATTTTTTTACATCTTTTTTAAGACTGTTATTTGTTAGCTAACATCAATTAACTGGTCTTAAAATGGTGCAAAAGCAATGTTAAATCTATTGGCATCAACTATTAAAGTTCGAAGATTCAATTTAAATGGGCAAACTTTGGTGGAAAAAAGTCAATTTTAAATTAAATTTAACACGTAAATGCTCCCAAAAAATCAATAAATAATCATAAACATGATTAAAAACCATTTGAAAAAATGAAATAAAAGGATGTTGAACTTTAAATGTAAAAGGAAAGAAATGGTTTTTTAAGCTTTTGGGGCCAATTTGGGGGATAATTAACTCAAAAATATTTAAAATATGACCGGTATTTTGATACCCAAAATCAATTTTGGGCCCTTTAAAAAAGTCGGTTTGGGAGTTTATCAAAATTTTTTTGGCTGAAAAAGAAAAAGGTCTAAACAAACCCAAATTTTCCAGTATATGATTTCAAAATTGGGGCAAATCAAAGGCCAGAAAAAGTGGATAAAAAAGGGAAAATTTTAAAACCCGGGTTTTTTAAGCTAATTTCTTAGGAAATTTACCCCCAAAAAAAACCGGCCCAAAAGGGAGAAATTTGGGGGCAACTTTATTTGGGAAACTATACCCCCTTTCTTTAGGGACCCAGGGGCAATAATTTTCAGCTCTTTGGGCCCCTTTAAGAAATAATTTTTTGGTTTTTAAAAAAGGGGAAACCCACATACGTTATCAGTAAAGAAATGGTTTTTTCCCAAACGGAAGGGAAGGTTACCCACTTTTAAATTTATCTCCCAAATTTTTTAAACCTTAAAAGTCTTTTGGGAAACTGAAAATTTCTTTTTGAACGGGACTCAGAAAAAAGGGATTTTCTATTAAAACATTTGTAGTTTTCATGATAGAACACATTTTGGGGCCAAAAAAAATTTGTAAAAAAAAGAAATTTTCCCTTTTTGTAGGGTTTTTAAAATCCACCAAAAACGGCTCTAAAGGCTGAAAGGAGACATTTGTTAATTTGGGTATGAAACTTTATCCTTTTCTTTAAAGGCCCCTAGAGCAATAAAGGAATACATTTCCGCTTAAAGACGAAAAAAGGGGGCCCTAAAAAAGGGGATTCCCCAGCATTTTTGACTCAAAGGACTTCCCAAATCCCTTTCCCCGGGGGAATTTTTTGACCGGGAAAAGTGGGGGGTTTTTAGGGAAATTTTCCGCCATATTTTTCCCGAACCCCCCAATTTTTCACCCGGCGTTAATAAACCCCCTACCGGGGCTTTTAGGTTCCCAAAGGGGAAATGGGGGGCTCTTTTTTTTAATCGTTTCTTATATTCACTAAAGAAGACTACCTTACTCGGATTATTACGACGGGGTTTATTAACGACCGTTAAAATATGGTTCGGGAAAAATATGGCGAAATTGCTCAAAACCCACCACATTTACCGGTCGCCATTTTACCGGTGTCCAACCTTTCAATTTTAGATTCAAAAATTTTGTCTCAGATGTAAATTTCCTTATTAGAGATAAGCAAGTTTAGAAATTTTCGCATTGCTAAACTTGTGAAACAAGTCGAATTATCAATAATTGTTGAAAGTAGACAGAAATAATGACTCGTGGGAATCAAACAAGATGGAAAATAATTACATTTGAAGCGTAACAACCAGATCGATATCTTACTATATTTAAAGCGAGACATATATATATATATATTTATCTGTGCCATTTTACTGACACCAAGGCATCATCTTTAAACGCAACTTTCCCCGCAAAAACCGTAAAAGATATACAACTGAAATTTGTTTGACTGAGTCAAATGCTTTTATGCTTTTCAAATCAGCATGAAAAAATAAAAAATTGGCCAAGGAATAATTATTTTAGTGCCCAAAATTTGGACCCCCAAGTGGTGTCAAAAACGCGAATTAAATAGGTAATAATTATTTTAGTCTCTTGAGTCTTGACACCACTTTAGAGTAATACGGGTTCCTGTTAGTTAAGATAAAGGGAGAGCTGTTTAGTCTTCCAATAAGTTGTAATCATCTTCGTTATCTTCATCTGGATCATCCCTTTCATCAGTTTTAATTAATTCAAGTTTTAATTTAACTGTTACTTTACTTTGAGTCCTATTTCATTATGTAGAGATAGTCATACCTAAGAAATTAAAAATTGGCCTATTTAAATCAAATTTGACAATAAGGATATATTGACAAGAATTGGCAAAAAGGTGAATTTTTTGCAATTTTTAGCCAAATGAAGTCGAAAAACCTACAACAAGTGTCCCAATACTAATAGTCTTCTTTAGTGAATATAAGACAACGATTAAAATATGAGCAACCCATACCCCTTGGGAACCCTAAAAGCTGAGTAGGCGGGTTTATTAACGACCGGTGAAAATGTGGTTCGGGAAAAATATGGCGAAATTACCCTAAACCCACCACTTTATCCCGGTCATAATAATCCCGAGTAAGGTATTGGGACACTTGTTGTAGGTTTTTCGACTTCATTTGGCTAAAATTGCAAAAATTCACCTTTTTGCCCATTCTTGTCATATATCCTTATTGTCAAATTTGATTTAAATAGGCCAATTTTTAATTTCTTAGGTATTGACTATCTCTACATAATGAAATAGGACTCAAAGTAAAAGTAACAGTTAAATTAAAACTTGAATTAATTAAAACTGATGAAAGGGATGATCCAGATGAAGATAACGAAGATGATTACAACTTATTGGAAGACTAAACAGCTCTCCCTTTATCTTAACTAGCAGGAACCCGTATTACTCTAAAGTGGTGTCAAGACTCAGAGACTAAAATAATTATTACCTATTTAATTCGCGTTTTTGACACCACTTGGGGTCCAAATTTTGGGCACTAAAATAATTATCCTTGGCCAATTTTTATTTTTTCATGCTGATTTGAAAAGCATAAAAGCATTTGACTCAGTCAAAAAATTTCAGTTGTATATCTTTTACGGTTTTTGCGGAAAGTTGCGTTAAAGATGATGCACTAATTTTGGGCACTAAAATAATTATTCCTTGGCCAATTTTTATTTTTTCATGCTGATTTGAAAAGCATAAAAGCATTTGACTCAGTCAAAAAAATTTCAGTTGTATATCTTTTACGGTTTTTGCGGAAAGTTGCGTTAAAGATGATGCCTTGGTGTCAGTAAAATGGCACAGATAAATATATATATATATATCGTCTCGCTTTATATATAGTAAGATATCGATCTGGTTGTTACGCTTCAAATGTAATTATTTTCCATCTAGTTTGATTAACCACGAGTCATTATTTCTGTCTACTTTCAACAATTATTGATAATTCGACTTGTTTCACAAGTTTTAGCAATGCGAAAATTTCTAAACTTGCTTATCTCTAATAAGGAAATTTACATCTGAGACAAAATTTTTGAATCTGAAATTGAAAGGTTGGACTCCGGTAAAATGGCGACCGGTAAAATATGGTGGGTTTTGAGCAATTTCGCCATATTTTTCCCGAACCATATTTTAACCGGTCGTTAATAAACCCGTCGTAATAATCCCGAGTAAGGTAAAATCATTCTTGAAGCTCGAATATATCCACCAAAAATGGCCTAAAAATTAAATCTTCTATGCTATAATAAGCTTGAAACGATTTCCAACCTGATCCGTTCACTGAGTAAAGCTGGTGAACTTGTTGACCAATATAATTTTTTCAGTTGAAAATTTTAGGTATTGAATTTTATTTCATCGTTTTATTATCCACCATATCTAGCCTTAAAATTGGAATCTTTCTTTATTTTCGCCTTTTATCATAAAGGCATATCGATTTGCTACAATTCTATCTTTAAATAATCACCATAAATTAACCACACGTAAAGTTACAGGCCAACAAATGATATATCCACCAAACCCCTCTGAAAAGTATATCCACCATTATTAGCCCTGATTTAAATGCTTGTATCTCTGCTCATAGACATAGTAGACATTTTATTCTTTTTGTAAAAGTTGAACTATCGCAAATCCTCTGCTGAAAAAAGTTTAATCAAAATATTGAGTTTATCCACCAAATGAGAGCTTCTAGAAGTTGAAATTTTTCCCGTGACAGATTCGTTAACATAGTTTTTGAAAGTGCCCTTAGGTCCCCTGATATGGCAACAACTTTGATTCATTCGTCATTTAAATCGGATAAGACTAACACCCCTACGTTTCACACAGGTGCCAGTTAAGAACGGAAAGCCGGCTGCTACCCCCAAGCAGAAGAAGGAGAAACTTCAAACACCCTCCAAACCCAACCTTAACGATCTGAAAAAGAAGCTCCTCGCATCCCCCAGTCTCCCAAAGAAGTACGAGAAGTTCGTTAATCTTATGAAAAATGCTCATAAAGTTACCGACGAGAAGGAAATCAAAAACACGTGGGAATTTGTTCAAAAGAACAAGAAATAGAATAACGGGTTTTAATGGTGGACTTGATGACAGATTTTTTTACTAATTTATTTCTTTTATTATTTATTCGATGGTTTGACACGGGTTTTTTGCCAGTCTTCATTATATCGTCGCGGTTGTAGTGGACTCTGAATCTCAAAATATGAACATACCAGCGTTTGATTATATTACGAAAGTTAATTTTTAACATTATTACAATAATAACAACGTTTTACTCTTATTGCTGTCCCAAAATTTTGCTTTGTTGATAATAGTCCAAACTGAAGTTGAATTTTTGAATTTTGTCAATGATATCGCATTAATTTCCTACAACGGAAAAATGTGAATATTTGAATACGTAAATAAGTAAATACGAAGCTAACCAACAAAACTGTAGCAATGAGACGGGTTGTGCTCCTCTGTATTAGTGTTTACTTTGTCCACGGCACACTAGAGCCCCTTACTAAAGAGGAAAAGAAGAAAGGCAAGGAGAAGAAGGTATGTACGACACCCCCCCCCCCCCCCCCCCCCCCCCCTTAATTCAGTAGAGGACTACTGCACAATAGAGAGCTATTTTAGGGTTCGATCCGATTGATTAATAGTCACTATTGACCAATCGAACCGAACCACAAAACTATTGACTCTAGTGGAAGCTGATTGATTTATTGCTGTGACAAAAAATTATATAAATATGGTCACCTCTCCACCAGCATCTATGATATTAAAATTTATTTGTCAGTTTGCGGCCTGTATTATACTGTTCTTCTATTCAGCACCTGAACAAAAGATGCGAGAGCATTGTGCTGATGATTGGATCTTTGATCATTCTCGAACTGTACTACGAAATACATACAATCACGTCATATTAATGATTTCAAAACAAATGAAAATAATATTATTTTTGCAGGAGCAAAGACCGATCCTAAAAACAGTCGGTGAACGAGGTCTCATCAACACGGAGCCCACTTCTTGGGCTGAAGTAACAAAGAATTATAAGAAGTACAGTAGAAACCATGTTGACAAGAAGATGTTTAAAGGTGACTTGTTGGGTTTTGTCACACCTTGGAATAACCATGGTTACGACGTTGCTAAGACGTTTGGTGCTAAGTTCAACTACATTTCCCCAGGTTAGTTTTACTATGAGTTCCAGTACTTACTTGGTATTTTTGTTCGATGTAAAGTCACAAGATAAACAATCTTTGAATTTAGAAAAAAGGGCGTTCCCAGGGCGTTCACGGTTCATCCCGTTTAATCTTTAAAATCAGGTAATATACAGGGTGGGCCAAAAGTCAGTACCCATACTATACGTTGGGTCTTATACCTCCGCCTTGTTTTATATTTGAGATTTGTTGCTTAGGGGGGGGGGGGGGGGGGGGGGGTTCACCCTGATTTTTTTGTGAAACTTGGTTTCGAGATAGCAGTTGACCAGGGGCGGTTTGGCGGTTGGGGTCCCGCTCAATCCAGGAGCCTAAGTAAGTAGATGAAATCATCTACATTTTCTATGGCTTCCCCGGATCGACTTTGTAGGTCGCTAGATCGATCCTCCATATTCAGTGTCATGACCTTGGTCTTGCCTTCGTTTATGTGTAGTCCCACGCTTGCTGCCGCCGATTCTACTCTGAGCAGGAACTCCGAGTAGATCACCAAATTTGATCGATTTTGGCCCATAAATTGGTCAAATATCAATATTTTTGAATGAAACCAACTTTATATGGAAGGTTAGCTTATACTACACATTATTTATGATTATCAGCTCTGTATCTACCTAACTAAGGATTCTGTGTTCAAATAATCGCAAAAAATGAACAAAATTGCCCATATCTCAGTTCACGATATTTGCAAAACTGACTTCGCTCAAAACAATAGAACTCAATAGGGTTTCAATATTTTTTCATGAAATTTTCAGAATCAACGTAGAATTGTCTCATGACCTTAAGTTTTGGGACAGAATTTTGAGTTAGGCCTTTAAAAAAATTTGGCGGCCAAATTCTAAATTTAGCAGTGCAAATTTTGGAATTTGGCCGCCAAAATCGATCAAATTTGGTGATCTACTCTGAGTTCCTGCTCAGAGTAGAATCGGCGGCAGCAAGCGTGGGACTACACATAAACGAAGGCAAGACCAAGGTCATGACACTGAATATGGAGGATCGATCTAGCGACCTACAAAGTCGATCCGGGGAAGCCATAGAAAATGTAGATGATTTCATCTACTTAGGCTCCTGGATTGAGAGCACATATAGGGAGGTAAGGGTAAGAAAGGGAAAAGCGTGGGGTGCCCTACATAGACTGAAGGATATCTGGAAATCCAAACTCTCAAAGAGCCTCAAGATTAGATTGTTCATAGCGGCTTGTGAATCAGTACTGCTCTACGGATCAGAAACCTGGACACTGACAAAGGCTCAAGAGAAAAGTTTGGACGGGACATACACGAAGATGTTGCGTATGGTGCTGGGTATCTCATGGAAGGACAAGGTCAGCAATATAACTTTGTATGGTAGCCTCCCAAGGCTGTCAAACAAGTTACGAAGCAGGAGATTAAAAATGGCGGGACACTGCATCCGACATTCTGAGCTACTTGCCAGTGATTTAGTCTTATGGGAACCTACGCACGGTAGAGCACAGCAAGGCCGACCAAGACAAAGCTACTTGTCTATGTTACTGAAGGAAGTTGGGACAAACTCTAAAGAGAAACTGCGAACCCTGATGCGGGACAGGGATATATGGAGGGGGTTTTCTGGCGTAGATCGGACTTAGCTCCGACATAGTAGTAGTAGTAGTAGTAGTATTTGGTGCGTATGCCCAAATATGGTCATATGGTTTTTTGCTCATAACTCAGTCATTTTTTGTCCAATCTTGATGAAAATTCATATACGAGTTCAGGGAACCACTAGCTACAAGTAGAGTACCTAAAATCTGGATTTTCGGCATGTTCAGGGTATTTGGCTAAATTGGGCCTAATTTGGACCAAATATGGGCGTGGCTGCCCCGCGAGCACCGTTTGGCGGTTAGGGTCCGGGACCCCCTCAAAAGTTCGGTCACTGGTCCTAGTTTGTTGGTCAACTGCTATCTCGAAACCAAGTTTCACAAAAAAATCAGGGTGAACCTCCCCCCTTAAGGGGGCCGGGGGGGTCTTCATCAAAATTCTCTCGAAATTGACTTTATAGTTGTTTCTGGTAGAAGGGGGTGATATCTACCAGCTGCTTTTGATATCTACCAGCTGCTTTTGGTCCAATGGAAAAATATTGTTCCTAGCCGAAATTATCGCCGGTCTAAGGTCAGCGCTTATGTGTAATTGTATTGTTCGAGCGATTTTCAATCGCAAATTCTGAAAATCGAGTCGAAAAATCTATCTTCTCCTACATTTTTAGAGCAATCACCCTGAAACTTTCAGGATATGTTCTAGGGACCATTTAGAAGAGATCGTTCATGTCAAAATTTTGAGATAGGCCTTTAAAGAAATTTATTCAATTTTGAAAATCTTTGACCTCGTTTTTTTACGATGATCGTTTTTTGGCATGAACGATATCTTCTAAATGGTCCCTAGAACATATCCTGAAAGTTTCAGGGTGATTGCTCTAAAAATGTAGGAGAAGATAGATTTTTTAGACTCGATTTTCAGAATTTGCGATTGAAAATCGCTCGCACAATACAATTACACATATAAGCGCTGACCTTAGACCGGCGATAATTTCGGCTAGGAACAATATTTTTCCATTGGACCAAAAGCAGCTGGTAAATATCACTCCCTTCTACCAGAAACAACTATAAAGTCAATTTCGAGAGAATTTTGATGAAGACCCCCCCCCCCCTCGGCCCCCTTAATGCTTTTCAGATGGCATACTGTACCTACTTGTTCGAGGATTCCGTCGCCAAAATTTGAAAATTCGAATATTTTAGACCACGCTCTGACGCTCATTGAATATTAAGGGGGGGGGTTCATCCTGATTTTTTTGTGAAACTTGGTTTCGAGATAGTAGTTGACCAACAAACTAAGACCAGTTACCGAACTTTTGAGGGGTCCCGGACCCCAACCGCCAAACGGTGCCCGCGGGGCAGCCACGGCCATATTTTGTCCAAATTAGGCCCAATTTAACCAAATACCCTGAACATGCCCAAAATCCAGATTTTAGGTGCTCTACTTGTAGCTAGTGGTCCTCTGAACTCGTATATGAATTTCCATCAAGATTGGACAAAAAATGACTGAGTTATGAGCAAAAAACCATATGACCATATTTGGGCATACGCACCAAATTTGATCGATTTTGGCCCATATATTGGTCGAATATCAATATTTTTGAATGAAACCAACTTTATATGGAAGGTAAGCCTATACTACACATTCTTTATGATTATCAGCTCAGTATCTACCTAACTGTGGATTCTGTGTTCAAATAATCGCAAAAAATGAACAAAATTGCCCATATCTCAGTTCGCGATATTTGCAAAACTGATTTCGCTGAAAACAATAGAACTCAACAGGGTTTCAATATTTTTACATGAAATTTTCAGAATCAACGTAGAATCGCATTTCGACCTTAAGTTTTGGGACAGAATTTTGAGTTAGGTCTTTTTAAAAATTTGGCGGCCAAATTCCAAAATTCGCAATGCGAAATTCAGAATTTGGCCGCCAAACACCTATATTGTTCTCTCTGAACATGCTGGACGCCTAATCTTTTCAGAGACGGTAGATTATTAAATATTGCATCTGATCTGAAAAAATGATGCGAGACGGATTAGGATTTAGGAATGACGAAATTATCAAGCATTTTGTGTACCTCGTTAGCAAAATTGATTGGGTGAATATGTGACACCGTGACAGGACACCTTAATTGGACATCTTTAACAATTCCCATAATGGTTACCGGGATCACCTTATCACGTGATTAGGTAAGCCAATCACCTGATCACACGTAATGAATAAACTCATTATGCTTCGTATCTCAATCATCTGAGAAGCTACAACTCTAATTTTTTTTTTCAGGACAAGCGTAATTCGAATGGCCAAACACAATCCAATAAAATTTAGCTCGATCCGACTATCCAAACTATCAAATAAATGCGAAAACGAACCTTCATTTGAAAAAATGAAGACGAATATTTTTCGAGTTGACAAATTCCTCGAACTAGTAGTAGTACAGACAGATCCGTCTGAAAAAATCGATCTGCCGACACACAAAGCTTACAAAGGATTTTTGACGTTTTTGAGTCCTAATAGATGTCCTTTATGGCTGACCAACTTTTCCAAACTTTTCCACGTGTCTTAAGGCCACTTTTTGCCACTTTACCACTTTTTACCACCTTTCTTGTTTGTCGAATATCTTTAGTTGTGAACATCGTAAAAGGTTGCGGATCAATCGAGTGTGTTCATATTACCATGAAGAAAAACTTTTGTACTAACAATTTTTACGTCAGAAAATCAGTTAATTGAATAATTATCAATTAGCTAATTAGCAAAATTCTAAAAAATTTTTATTGGCTCAAAATGATCAGAATAGCTTAAAACACGGAGAAAAGTAGTTTTTAGAAAAACTTCGAAAATTTTTCACTTACATTTTCTTTCGAGACTTGGAAAAATTTCGAAAATTCAAAATATTTTTTTCCGCCAAAAGTGATCAAATTGCATGAAACGCGGAGAAAAATGCTTTTCAAAAAAACTTAGTAAATTTTTCGTTTCAAGAATACTTAAATCACCAATATTTGTAGTTGGAGTTCAGTAAATCGCGGCAGATTTTAGTAATCAGGAATTACTAAGTGGAAAGGTCTGAAACTGAAAAACGTTAACCATACGATATAAGAGTTTCATAACTAATTACAATACAGCCTTATCGATTCTCACAGAAACTGCACCAATGGCACAGTCAAGATCGAAAGACGAAACGATAGCCTGCTGTACTATCATTTTATTGATTTCAATGATGAATCAGTGGGGTTAAGATAATCACATTTGTAATAAATAAAACCTCTCTGTACCGTCAATTGTGCTAATCTAAACCGGCCTACCTGGATTACCAGACCTCTTCTTTTCCTCAACAATGAAGCCAAGTTGTCCATATCGCATTTGGTGGGCGATGTAAGTACATATCGAGCTGTATTCAATCACAATACGACACAATGCAATACGTGTATATTATATTATGGCCCTTAATGAGGTATATGAAACGTTCTATACCGTACACTTCTCGTTTCTCCCGTGAGAGGCCCGGTATGGAGAGGTTTTACAGTTTATCACGAAAACGTCTACTTGGCCTCATGACTCTTTGACAGATCAAAGAAGGCAAGAAAAGACCAGAAAGCTTAAAATGTCAACTCGCTCTTTTCAATGCTCTTAGATCTGTCCCACGTTAATCTCGAGCTGATCATCATGGGCCCCGAATATCCTGCGGGAAGAACCTGTATTTTTACTTCACAACGTCCAGATTTCAAATCAACATCCTCAATAACATTAACAATCCTTCCTGATCAGGATCTGTCTCTATTAGCAATTTCCAAAATATCCTGACTCTCGTGGAATATTTTACTGAATGAATTATTACCGGTTCTTTACTAACCCTTGCCCGACGCTCGTATCTAAATCTTATCCTTGCCCGTAGTTACCCTTGTTGATTTTACTTTTAGCCGACCCTGACAAATGGGGGTGTTTTTATACCGCATAGCAAATGAAGCGGTATGCAGTACAATACAAAACAAGTCACAGTAGATGTTGGAAGGTGTATTTACACTTGCTTCCTGAATCTGGCTGTTCCTTAGTTTCCCTGGTCTGTTCTTGCCTTCTTCGAACTGTAAATGAGCCATGAGGCCAAGTATATATGTACGTTTTCGTGATAAACTGTAAAACCTCTCTATACCGGGTTTCTCAAGGTATTAAGCGTTTCATAAACCTCATTAAGAGCCATATAATATACACGTATTGTGTCGTATTGTGATTGAATACAGCTCGATAAGTACTTACATCGCCCACCAAATGCTATATGAACAACTTGGTTTGATTGTTGAGGAAAAGAAGAGGTCTGGTAATCCAGGTAGGCCGGTTTAGATTAGCACAATTGACGGTACAGAGAAGTTTTATTTATTACAAATGTGATTATCTTAACCCCACTGATTCATCATTGAAATCAATAAAATGATAGTACATAAATAAAATAAATAAGTACAGCAGGCTATCGTTTCGTCTTTCGATCTTGACTGTGCCATTGGTGCAGTTTCTGTGAGAATCGATAAGGCTGTATTGTAATTAGTTATGAAACTCTTATATCGTATGGTTAACGTTTTTCAGTTTCAGACCTTTCCACTTAGTAATTCCTGATTACTAAAATCTGCCGCGATTTACTGAACTCCAACTACAAATATTGGTGATTTAAGTATTCTTGAAACGAAAAATTCACTAAGTTTTTTTGAAAAGCATTTTTCTCCGCGTTTCATGCAATTTGATCACTTTATGTAAGTGAAAAATTTTCGAAGTTTTTCTAAAAACTACTTTTCTCCGTGTTTTAAGCTATTCTGATCATTTTGAGCCAATAAAATTTTTTTAGAATTTTGCTAATTAGCTAATTGATAATTATTCAATTAACTGATTTTCGGACGTAAAAATTGTTAGTACAAAAGTTTTTCTTCATGGTAATATGAACACACTCGATTGATCCGCAACCTTTTACGATGTTCACAACTAAAGATATTCGACAAACAAGAAAGGTGGTAAAAAGTGGTAAAGTGGCAAAAAGTGGCCTTAAGACACGTGGAAAAGTTTGGAAAAGTTGGTCAGCCATAAAGGACATCTATTAGGACTCAAAAACGCCCAAAATCCTTTGTAAGCTTTGTGTGTCGGCAGATCGATTTTTTCAGACGGATCTGTCTGTACTATAGTGGTACTGAGTCATACCAGAAAGAAGTATTTCAATTCGGCACTCAGTGACTGAGCTATAAAAGCCAACGTATGGGTACTGACTTTTGGCCCACCCTGTATTTTCATTGTAAAAGTATATTCACACTATCCTGACTCACAAACTGTACGTATTTATCAGTGTGGCTGCAAATAGTTCCCACAACTCAAGGAACCTTCAAGATAAAAGGAGGGCATGATATAGATGCAGGGTGGGTTAGAGATGTCCGGGCTAACAATACAAATGTTAAGATAGCTCCGAGACTCATATTCGGGGAGTGGTCCATGGCACATCTCACTCAGGTAATGAAGAGATAACTTTTTTAGCGGCCAGCTTTTCGAACATTTGACTGCTAAACATCTTTAAAAATGTCAGTTTCGTCTGACACAGAAGACATGTTGCAAGTGTCTACAATTGCAATGTGATAACAAAACCCTTACATAATATGTATAATGCTTGTATAAATTGTCCTAACTTGCTTGTGTAACTTACATAACTTGCATAACCTGCTTGTGTAACTTGAATTGCTTGTGTAACTTGCTTGTGTCTAGGTAACATCGTCAGAAGGTGAGCTTATGCACTTGGTACAAGTTGTGGTGGAGTTCTTCAAGGGAGAAAAGTTTGACGGGGTTGTTCTGGAAATCTGGAGACAGTTTCAAGGAAGGGTTAGTAGTTGGGGGGGGGGGGGGGGGCCAATGCCCATTAAGTAGTCTGAAGTTAATTTATCCAATTATCCTGGGAATCATATCCTGACCAGCTGTACCATTCGCTTACAATTTATCCAGAGAAGTCAGAAAAAAGTTACTTCCATTCGGGAACTTATCCTCTATGATCTGTATTGTGCAATTCTTTATCATAATTTCAACCTTATCATTGGTAACGTTTCAATATAACCCAGGAAAAGCCAAGGCTGCACCAGATAATAAAAGCGATAAGCGAGGGAATGTCTGAGGGACAAATGACAACCCAGCTGGTCATACCACCCGGAGTGAGACCCTTCCCTGAGATATTCGACAAGTACGACTTTCAGATCCTGCAACCGTACATCGAGAAGTTTGTGATGATGACGTATGATCATCATCACGGTACTGGAAAAGCAGGTACGTTAGGGCCGGGGTCGTTTACATATTACGTAATCAGCCGAGGGGGGAGGGGGTTTTTTAAATGATTACGCTAGTGTAATTTTGACACAATAGCTATACGTGTAAAACTGATTACGGAGGGGGGAGGGGGGTTAACAATTTTCCAAAAAGTGATTACGTAATATTTGGACGACACCTTATCATCATTAAAACCAGGATGGGTCAAGGCTGAGTCTGAATTGACCCTAACGGGGGGAGGGGGGTACACTACCCTGACTAGCATGTTTCAGATTGTTTTGTATCTCTTTTTCACTTAGCAGAACCAGGTATTGATATTGACGATTAATTTACCATAGGTCGATTTAACCATAGGTACCATGGCCGTTTAAAAGCTATTAAAGCCCGCCCACCCCCCACCCGGCCCCTGTCCTCCAGCCATTGGAGTTTAACGAATATTCCACTCAATATTACCATGACAACCATGTGTTCAGGTCCGGTGGGTCCTATGGACTGGGGTCTGCGGAATATACTGCTGATCATGGAACACGAAAATAACGATAACTACCGACACAAGCTCCTCTATGGAGTCAACTTCTACGGGGCTGACTTTAGAGGAGACGGGCACTTTGATGGTGAGTTGATGTAACCTAGTAACCTAGTAACATAGTAACCTAGTAACCTAGTTGATGTAATCTAATAGAAATAGAAGACATCTTTATCATAGCTTTACCATCTGATAGTGTAACTTAGCAGGTGCTATGATGTTTCATTCCACAGATTTCTGAGGATTTAGGTTCAATCAATGATCAAGCATCATTTTGATTTATTTGATTTATTTGATTTATTTGATTTATTTGATTTATTTGATTTATTTGATTTATTTGATTTATTTGATTTATTTGATTTATTTGATTTATTTGATTTATTTGATTTATTTGATTTATTTGATTTATTTGATTTATTTGATTTATTTGATTTATTTGATTTATTTGATTTATTTGATTTATTTGATTTATTTGATTTATTTGATTTATTTGATTTATTTGATTTATTTGATTCAACTTAATAAGAACAGTGTATTGATACAGTAAACCCTGCAGCTATTGTAGGAAGCCAGTATATTGACCTACTCAAATCCGCGAAGCCCTCACAGTTCTCCTGGCACCTAAAGGCATCTGAACTAAGTTTTGAGTACAGGGATAACAAACAGATACACAAAGTATTCTACCCTTCTTTACGGGTAAGTTATTAAGTTACTATTGGTATGAGTGTGGATGTTATTGAGTTACTAGTGTTGATGTGATGTGTGTGGAAATTAGATTCACATTTACACGGCGACCAATACTGTATCCCCATAAGGTCCATACATTAATGTAGTTTTACTGAAGTCAAGTTAAATACTTAAATAGCATTACTGTACGAATTACATGCTTTGACTGTTTTTACGATGTACGGTTTCGACCATTAAAATCAAATTCACCATAATGTTATAATCATATTTAAATCAATTTGTCCCCTTTCAGTTTATCCAGAAAAGAGTGGAAGCAGCTGAAAGATTCAAGATTGGTATCGCTATATGGGAGATAGGTCAGGGTTTAGACTATTTCTTTGATTTATTATAAACTGTGTGGTAAGTCTTAAAATTAAGTTAATTTTAATTTACTCGTGTTTTAACTGCTAAACCTAAGTGACATATGTCTCATCTTGATGTGAAATGTTGTTATAAAGTTGAATTTTGTGTTACTGGTTTTTGGTCTAGAAGTATAGATGAGATTGATGATTTTATTTTGTTGTATAATGTTTGAAGTTTTAATGCACCGTTATTGTATATTTATTCAGAATTTTGGTTTATTTTATGTTTTGCATGAATTATGAGTTTTGCACGAACTAAATTGCATGATATTGAAGTTTTTGAGGCACCTACGATTGTATACAGCCGTTTGATTATGTTCAGAATTCAGATAAAAATGTAAAGTGGCTGTTTCAGTCGCTGGGTTGTGAAGGTGTGTTTCAATATTATTTACATTCTGGCTATCAACATTAAAGCATCCACAGATTCGCCATGTTGGTGTATAATTAAGTGGCCTCTAATTAAGTGGCCTCTATTTCCATGAAAAGACATTTCTGAGCTGATGAGATCTTTAAACTTCCTGACCTCAATGGATAATGTACATGGTGTGTTTAACTCAACCCTGGCCTTATTAATTAAATATTATTCATAGCATGGATTCAGAAGATGATGGCTCAATGGAAGAGGGGGATTTGGAGTATTTCTCGGATAAAAGGTCCTACAAATTCCTTCTCAGCAATCTTGAAGAGGATAAACCCTCTAAAAAGTAAGCAACATATTCTCGGAAAAATTAGTGTTTATGCACTTATTACAGTCTGCAATTCCTTGACAATATATCTAGAACACTGCAGGAATCAAATTATGTTACTAATCAGTAATTAGCTGATTTAAATCGCTCAATTAGCCAATTAACACCACGTGATAGCTAACCTAGCAACTGTTGATAACCTAGCAACTGTTGCAGATCTAAAACCACAGAGGATGTGTACGAAGAGAAGAGGTACAAGGAGGAGAAGGGTAAGCCAGTAGAGGAGATACACCACTTGTTACCTTTCAAGACAAAAGAGGGGCTCCAACAGCGGTCTAGAGTCATTGAGAAGGTAACACTGATTATCATAGTGTTAGATTTTTTACTATATAGGGGGGGAGGGGGGGGGGGGGGGGGCAATGGCATAAAATGGAGAATTACTTATGGGTTTTTCCCTTTTCACCATAGAAAAGGTCTCCATTTTATGCCATTTTATGCCATTGCCCCCCCCCCCCCCCCCCCCCCCCTTCCCCCACTATATATATTGTGTTCATTTGTCGTTGAATTGTTACTGTTTGGTATCAAAATAGATCCACTAACTGTTGCAACTGTGAACGCCTCTGTGGTCTTTCTATGATATGTCATTTCTACTTTTCTAGGAGAAGCCGGAATTGTAGTATTAGATACTACCTTAGTTCCCAAAAATTAATTAATCAAAACTAACTGCTGCAACTTTGAGTTTCTTTTGCACTTCACAGATTTAACATTTATCACTTGTAGGAGAAGCCGGAGGTTGAAGCAGCACCAGAGCCGGTAGAGGAAGAGTACCAACCTACATCTGTTTCAGAACTTTACTCTTTGAGACAACAGTATATTGCTAAAGCAAAACAGGCAAGTTCAAGTTGAGAATTTATTCACCTAATGTCTTATATCTATTGTATATACTGTTAACTGAACCATTCTTGACGTTCTATATTAAGACGCAATGAAACTACCGGACCACGATGTATGGGGACTTCGTTATATCGACTCTGTTACATCGTTTCCTCAAATTATTTGTTATATAGTGGGGGGGGGGGCCAATGGCATAAATGGAGAAAATGGAGAATTACTCATAGGTTTTTCCATTTTCTCCATAGAAATAGTCTCCATTTTATGCCATTTTATGCCATTTTATGCCATTGAAAACCTGAAAAATTTAGAATTTCGAGAAAAATTATTTTTTAAAAAGATATTTTCGGCTAATAATGAACAGAGTATCATGAAACATGGAGAAAAGTGGTTTTCAGAAAAAACTTTGAAAAATGTTGACTTAGAAAATGTTAGGTCCGAGTCATTTTCGATACGTACCTCCCGTACCGAGAGCTCCCGATTCCGAGCTCGTGTTGCAAAGGGGAGGCCTGCCTTCCGAGATCGCATTACTTCGAGTCCAAAATTGTGTATCGAGGGGAAGTTGTGGACTTCGAAAAACCGAAAAAATATTTTCGGCAAATAATGAACAGAGTAGCATGAAACGTGGAGAAAAGCGGTTTTCAGAAAAAATTTGAAAAATTTTGACCGAAAAAATATTTTCGGCTTATAATGAACAAGGTAGCATGAAACGAGTTTTTCAGAAAAACTTTGAAAAATTTTTACTTAGAAAATTACCCCTCGGTACACAATTTTGGACTCGAGGCTTCCCCCTGGTAATGCGATCTCGGAAGGCAGGCCTCCCCTTTGCAACACGAGCTCGGAATCGGGAGCTCTCGATACGAGAGGTACGTATCGAGAATGACTCGGGTCGAAAATTTTCTAAGTCAAAATTTTTCAAAGTTTTTCTAAAAACCACTTTTCTCCACGTTTCATGCTACCCTCTTCATTATTAGCCGAAAATATTTTTTTGGTTTTTCGGTTTATCGAAGTCTGCACCTACCCCTCGATACACAAATTTGGACTCGAGGCTTCCCCCTGGTAATGCGATCTCGGAAGGCAGGCCTCCCCTTTGCAGTGCGAGATTGTTTCGACCGTCGAGGATGTAGGTCTCACTTCTCAGTACCTATTACTCTCCCCTATTACTCACTCCTGCTGTAGCCTGTAGAAATAACTTTACACTAGAAGAGTAATTATGAGTTTGCCTGAAGTGTGCCTCTACTAACCTAGTATAAGCATCTAGTAGCATACTATGAGCTTTCATAAGCTTGTTACGCCCCTAGTAAGCGTAAATAAACATGTTAGGATGTCCAATTTAGGTGTTAAATGGTGTTAAAGATGAAATTTCGAAGACAAAATTCATGGCATAAAATGGAGAAAATGGAGAATTACTCATGGGTTCCATTTTCTCCATAGAAAAAGTCTCCATTTTATGCCATTTTATGCCATTGGCCCCCCCCCCCCCCCCCCTATATAGTAGTGTTGAAAGTATCAATATATCTCAACCATTCACCAGCTTGACGTTCTATATCCCATTGCTAGAAGGTAGGTTGCTAGTTTGCCAGGTAGGTTGGTAGGTAGGTTTAACCGTGCTATATCTACAGGATATAGCGAAGCTGTGCTGTGGAATAACAGAAGACCCGTATAATAACATAGCGGCAATGAAGAAGCTCCGACATTACTGTGCTACTGAGGACAGCAAGGCTGGTATGTATCTCTTTACTCTTCTTTGCTAGTAGGTAGGTTGCTAGGTTGCTAGGTAATGAAGAAGCTCCGACATTACTGTGCTACTGAGGACAGCAAGGCTGGTATGTCTCTCTCTTTTTACTTTTACTCTTCTTAACCTGGCCTTGCTGGCACTATTTAGGGCCTTAATGGATTTTGAAAATCGCCATAATTAATTCATACATAATTCGCCAAAATTCCCCTTGGCTTCCCCCCCTATTTACCTTAGTCCGGTATTTTAGATCTCTTTTACATCACAGAAAAGGTTGAAATTATCCACGATCCTTGGTAGCTTTGCTAACAACATAGCACACTAGACAAATATTCTAGTAAACAAATGTTTAAAAGCTCAAAATCTATTAATAAAACAAATGTTTAATAAAACAAATTTTTATTTTTACGGCACAATCAAATAATATCAATGATATATAAATCAGGGGAGGTTTGAGGAGGTTTCAAGTGCCGAAGGCCACTGCTTATCTTTAGATTTGAGAGTGACCTGTGCTTGAAACCCCCTCAACCATCCACTACGTCAATATACTTATTATCCCAGGTCAGACTGTGAGAAAGTTAGCTATAATCTCTCTGACTGCTATCTACAATGACATCCTGCCCTCTTACTCCATCAACCCATCCAAGGAACTAGAATCTCTCAGCAAAGAGGTATAACTTAACCCTGCTAATATCTCCCTCAATATCTTCCGTTATTCGGCCAGTTTCTGATATCTCCTTTCAGATTTGTACGCTAAGTTGTTTAAATCCACGATTTCTGATCGAATACGATGCAGGTGTCGTTATCGATATCTTCGTGAGAGATCTCACTTATTTATAAACAGCACATTCAATCAGGTGAAAGTGCAGCATAGTTATGAGACTGACCTCTTGAGGAACTACCGTGTATTCCTTGACTTGCTCTTTGAAAACCTTAACGTTGCCTTCAAGGTTAGCAAGCTCAATCTTCATTTTTATTGATAAGATAACACGATCTCCAAACAGTTATCTCTATTTTGAACACAAATTATCCCGTGAATCTGTTATCTGAGTGTATTTATAATGATTTATAAATCATAATAAATACCCTTGCTACAGTCGAAGGGAAAGATTAGACTTGGACGTTATTATGAACTATCCCTTTACTTGTTTAGAACCTTTATTTAATAATTCTTGCTGCAGAATAAGAAGCGAGCAGAGAGAGTAGCAACAGAAGTGTTCCAAGCCCGCCGGAATCTAGGACTCCTCTCCCTAAAGTGCATGGCAGAGCTGCTCTCAAAGAACTACAACTTTAACTTCAGGTCTAACATTGTGGTTACTCTGATCCCTTACGGGGCTAGTAAAGCTAAGGGGGGTCAGCTGGCTGATGTCGTCACTGCTACTATAGTTGAGGTTTTTACTTTTGGTTTTTACTTTTGGTTTTTACTTTCGGTTTTTACTTTCGGTTTTTACTTTCGGTTTTTACTTTCGGTTTTTACTTCTGATTTGTCTCCATTTATTTGTGTCTGGGGTAATAATAGTGTAAGATTTCATCCTTGACATAATCCAGAGATCATCTTCCAAATATTATAGAAACATTCTTATTCAGATATTTGAAAAGGACAAGCAAGGTGAATGTTCGGTCGAGATAGTCAGAGTGATAGCCTCGCTAGTCAAAAAGAAGGGCAGCAGTGTTAATGGTTCGTGACATATCTTTAATTTAAAGTATCAGCGTCACCATGGTAACCATCAGTGTGAAGTCTTGTAAACATTTTCACCGTGTCTGTAGTTAATAAGCCAACAAAAGGGAATTATTTTAGTGTTTCTTGTTTTAACCACGTTTATGCAACGTGCAGATAAATATTCAATGATATGCCACGTGCAGGTAAGCTGATCAGCTGTCTAATGCACGTGCGCCTGGTGGAACTAGGGGAGGTGAAGAGAGAGGAAAAAGAAAAGTTACCGGACACAGCCATGCTCAGCAAGAAACAGAGAAAACACAGGAAGGAACAGGTATGTGGTGACTGATAAGTTTTGGAGTGCTTTGCAATGTTATGTATTCTTCTACGTTTACAATCCCTAATAATTCAAAGAGATCTGTGAGTATGAAATGGTGTTTGCATATAAATTGTGCTGTAAATAAACTTTAATGACTACTGATATGTAAAGTTTATTTGAATTTTGAAATTTTTTAAAAAAATAAGGGTCCAGGTCAGAAATATATAGCACGCTCTCCTGAAAACCTTGATTAATTTTACCTTTCATTTCAGGCTAAAGTGAGGGTTGAGCTACGTGAGGCAGAGGCAGTGGAGAACAAAAAGAAGAAGTTCAGGCTTCAGTCAGAATCACTCGATCACATATTTGTGACGTATTTTAGAGTATTGAAACAGTTCCACGATACCCCACTTCTTCCTCTTGCCTTAGCTGGTATGATTTAGTTACTTCTCACATTTCTAGAGAGCTGGTATGATTTAGTTACTTCTCAGTTCTCACTTTCTTAGAAAAGTGATCTGAAATTTTCTACAACTTCTTCCTCCTGTATCAATATCATAGTACATAGTATATTCTCTACCCCGTCTATGATACCCGATTAAATTCACTTTTCTGCCATTCTTTATATCTAAGCCCAGTTTTACAATGCTACTGTAACGACAATGATATCACAACTTTAATTCTCAATAGGTTTATCCAAGTTCGCTCACCTGATAAACGTTGACTTCTTCACCGACCTGTTCGAGTGTCTGAAGAGTATTATAAAGGAGGAATCACTGAACCTAGCGGACTCGCTCAACTGTGTCTCTACTATTTTCACCATCTTATCAGGTTTATATTTCTATGCAATGTTATATCGAAATATTTTCCTCAGTATCCAACCTTACGCAGATTGAATACCATCGAAGACCATTTTTATTGAAGCCTGATAAATTTAGGTAAAATTGTATTATTTTGAAATATTTTAGGTAGTACATTGTACACAACTCTCAATTGAAACAAACACTCTTCAGGCCAAGGATCAGTTCTTGAAGTTGACATAGGAGAGTTTTACTCCTTACTCTACCAAAACATCCTCCTCTTCACCCCTGACACGCCCATGAAGACCTTCCACCAGCTCAAAGCAAGTCTCACCAGCACCCTAAAACGTAAAGTACCCCTCGCCTGCCAGATGGCAATGGTTAAGCGCCTCTGCACCATGTCCACCCACTTGAACCCTGAACAAGCCCATATCCTCCTCTGTGAGTCCAGGAAGATCATCAGAACCGCCCCGAGGATAGCTCAGATGTTAGAATCAGATGAGGACTTCGGTAAGCCTTTCTACCCGGAAGCAGACGATCCTGGTCAGGCTAATGCTGAGGCGGCGGTTCTGTGGGAACTGTCTGCTATTGCAGGGCGGTCTTATCATGAGTCTGTTAGGACTACTGCCAGGCATCTCAGTAGGTACGATCCTAATTCTACTAAGCGTTCAGAGGTCGACTATTTTCTGAATAATAAGTTCAAACGCAGTGCGGAGTGCTGTGTTTTGTTGGAGGAGAGTTTCCCTAATAGTTGTAAGAAAATGCATAATAGACGGGCACATTTAAATGGTCCGTTAACGACCGATCAACAAACTGATGATGTCAAACATTTGGAGTTTTATAATGATATTAAAGCAAATAGGTAGGGTTTTTTTTATGAAACGAAGGTTTTATTTTACGACTTTGGGGTAAGCTTGATTATTTAAGTTATGATAAGCCGACATGTTATATGGAAACTTATACTGCACTGGATAAGTGAATATTAATTAATTAACGAGACATTGTACATATATTCTTGTTTCTATATGCTTTAAAACGCTTTCTCTCTCTGAGCTCATCGTATTGATTATTTAAGCATCAGTGCTTAACATGATGAATAGACAACCGTATACATTTGTTTAAAAAGAAATACCTTTATTTTAAATATTGGCTTTATTTGACATTTTCAGTGTAACCTCTCCAGAAAATTATTCCTATCGATTCCATCTTTTTAGGAAGTATTCCAGCTGACGAATCTCGCTATTGACATCAAACGGTAGAAATGTTAAAACAGAATAATCTTTGTTTCCAGACATGAAGTTATTGTCCACAGTTCAACACACTTAGAAATTCTTATGATCTGTAATGTCTTCAACTAGCAAAGCTTCCACACTATTCAATCTCAAAGATGAGTACTTGAAAGCCAAGTCTGATACGAACAAGTCAACAGCTCAAGGCCCAAATAACCACAAGAAACTAAAAGACATCATCCACTACAAGAAGGAGGAGAAAGATAAACGACAGGCGGAGAGGGACGCGAAACAGAGGAAAAGAGAAGAGCGTCTAGCACTGACTCAGAAAGAAAAGCAAGACTTGGAAAACTCTAGGTCAATCTTGGAAGCGAAGAGTGCTGTTTACGACAAACTCTTAAAACGAGATGGTGAGTCTTCAGAAAACATCCTAGTAGATTTCTCTCAGAAACGTATTGAAGGACACGAGATTCCCTTTGATTACACCTCCAGAACTAGGAACTATGATGAGAATAGCGTACCTGTGGACGAATCTGAGGCGGAGTACGATGAAATTCATCTCTCGAATGTCGACAAGGGCGAGATTCGCAGCAAGGGTGTCGGGTTTTATAGCTTCTCCAAAGACCCTGAAATAAGAAAGCAGCAGATGGATTTTCTTAATTCTATGAGGGAATCAACAGAAAAGTCTAGAGAGATCTTCCAAGCCACAAAAACAAAGAGGAAGCAGGAAAAATTAGACAGACTCAACCGGCTAAGAAAACGGTTAAACATGGATCCTTTAACTGTTCTGCCAAACGAGAAATCTGTTGAAGACGAAGAAATAGATCCGAATGTATCAGAGATTGTCACACAGCCAGAGCCGAACTCGACTGCTAACTTGCAAGATCAATCTTCCCAGCCCCTGGACGTAGGAAAATCAATCGAAGAGAAGTTCCTGATCAGGGAACAAACACTTTGGGAGAAAAAGGTGGAGGACCTGAGGAATGAGCGGGAAATGGAGTTTGCTCCCGTGTATCCAGGACAACTGTATCCAGGCAACCATGATGCTCCCGTGTATCCAGGCAACCATGATGCTGGTAGGTCGAGTAGGACTGAGGAGCAGGAGTTGGACGATGAGGATGATGCTATCGTTAACTTTATATCTTTTGTCAGACAGAACACCTGAGCTAATGTTCTATTAAGTCTTGCAAGGTTAAGCAAGTTACCCTGAATTCAAAATGCCAGAAGACGAGCTAAAGCGGAAGAAATCAGTTTAAATAAAAGAGACTTCATTGTTATGATGGATGATGGCTTGTTGACTGTTCAGATAATTGCGTTTTGTATATTATTCTTTGGAGTTATCTTTGATTATGATCAAAACATGATGCTATCAACTTCTTTGAGAGTTTCAATCGATCTTAATTCATTCATGTTTGATTCATGTTTGATATTACGAAGTTAAATTTACTTGATATTCTGATGCTTTCACAAAAAGAGATTGCTACTTGCTATACTTCTCAGTCACATCTTTATCCATGCCTAAAAGCACAATCCTAAGATAAGGAATGAGATAGAAATGAGTAGAGATCACGATGAAGTACCCACTATTCTGCAACACAACCCTCCAACACACTTTACACCGGTATAACGCACCCAGCTTCAGGGGTGCTCTAGCTCGGTTAACCCCGTGTGTCGCTACTCGGAGGTTTTCTAGTAGAGTTGGAGCAGATGATCGGAACCGTCAGCTCTCTTCGCTCCCCATAAGAGGTTAGTTCCAGTCTCAATGTTGTCATTTGACGGCAATGTTTTTAACAACAAAAACGTTTACCCCCATTTACTTAAAACATCTGACATTACTTTCAAGGTTATATTTCTATGTTCAGGCATTTGATGGTTCATACAATGATTGAGTTTGTACTAATTTAATCCTCCTAATATCACCAGGAGATTATGTTGGCGAGGCCATAAAGAAGTCGTCTGATCTGACACCGAGAGAAAATGTGCGCCACTACTTAGAGATCATGAACAAGTCTATTGATAGTGAGTAAGTGAGTTGTTATTTGAGAATACATAGAAACAACGCGGCAGCTACAAAATTGGTTAGTTATTGAATTTTAATCCTCCTTTCTTATAAAACTTTTGGAAATGCCCTCCCCAGCTCAGTATCGCATGTGAATTATAATTTTGCATTAATACGAAACGTTTTGAAAAAATAAATGCCTCCCCCGGTATCGTATTTAATTTTGATATCAGTCACCTGAATAATAAAACTGTTTCTACGCTTATTGTTAACTCCTCACTTTCCAGTTGAAAATGATGTTCTGAAACGGCTCTGTGAATCACCTGAGGGACTTACCGCGGTTATGGACGCTAGAGGTCAGTGAGCAGTTCGTTGGATGGTATTATGCTGTAAATTGTAATAATTTATAATGATCTATGCATATTGTATTATCCCCATATTATTCTGCTATTTATATTTAGTTTTATAACATTTTGTTATTGTTTTTATTAATGAGATTTCAAAATATAATAAGATTTTGCTCAAATTTTAGAGATCTGAGTTTTACAATAAACATTTCAGCTGAATGCAATGACATGATAGTCAAGCTACCTCGACCCGAACTCATGAAACTAGACAAGATACTGTTCAAAGTGTTACGCTTTGCTGTTACTTTTGATAATACTGAGATATCCACAGTTAAACTAGGTTGGTATTTTTCTGAAAATATGAAAATTTTGAAAAGATGTCAGAAGTGGGATTTGAACCCACGCCCACATTCGTGGACCAGAATGCTCCATCTTACGACGGCAAGAGATTCTTGAGTCTGGCGCCTTAGACCACTCGGCCATCCTGACTGTTATACAAGACGAAATATGATAATCGGTCTTTATCTACTTCAACCTATGTTCAACTCTTTCGAAATGCAAAAGCAGAAATGACATTCTGATATAGGAGAGGCTGTAAAATCTTACCGTTAGTAAAATATGTAAAGCCTCATATTTCAATATTATATATGTTTTTGTCAATAACTCTTCATCAAGTTAGAAATCAGTAGGTTACTTGGGTTACGCACACGAGTTGAACACACGTCAAAAAAATTGATAATTAATTGCGATTTAGGCAAACTAGTTCTCAGACCACAATGTTTTATATTTACAATAGTTTGAAAGATTTGTTACGTCTATATTATATAGTCTCATTTTGCTTACAATAACACGCAATTTGTATTCAGAGTCACCTAAAGCAATTGTGGAAATGGTAAGGAGCAGTGACAGAGTTCACCCTATTAAAACTCAACTAGACCTTCAAAACAGACTTGCTGAAAATCGTAGGTACTCCAGTTGAAACGTCATTAAACTTCGTTCCGACGTCTCTTTCAGAAGCTTTGGTTGTTTGTACGAAAAAGGTGAAGGGTCGATTTCCCAGATTTTCAAATTGTATCCCATACTCTAAATCTGAAATAATCCACAGGTTCCGTATTTGTACTGACCCACACCCTCCTTCCCTCTCGCCCCCTGGTAATCCTGCACGTGGCTCACAGTTCAGGAATGTTCCAGTGTGTCTCAGACATCAAGGAGGGTCTGGATGAGAGCTTAGCTAGCTCTCTTTGTACTCCAACAGACGGACGGACACACGGACTAGACCACGGGAGGGAGATTAGTTCTGGAGCTGAGGATGGGGAGATATTGTCCTGTACTCGGTTTACAGAGGATGCTTCATATAGGAGAGTCAATACTTTCTACTCTATTTCTTCTCTGGAAGTTGCATTAAGAGGTATGGATCATGCTGCTCTCTTCATTTCAATTAAATGTCTGTACCATGACACCATAGATCAGATAAATAAAAGTGATGCTCCCAGTCCCTCTCACACTCTCATGACTAGGTATCCCCTGCGGAGGCTGGTGTATAGGTAAAGCAAAGTCCCAACTAACAGCACCCCGAACCCTCTACACCACCCTGTCTCCAATACCTGGTCTCAGGAACTGGATTAGCGTTTCTCTGAAGCGACCTAACCCAAGGGTGCTCAGACTTATCGGTAAATTCCAGATATTTATTTTGGGTTTTTTGTCTGAATTTCTTAATTCAGGGACTACGATTTAACCTTATTGTTTTCTGCCCTGTCATGTAAAATGATAACGTTATTTATGTATTATGTAAATAATATTTTCATTCCTTTCTCTAACCTTGGTAAAATTTAAAATTGAAACAGAAATATCCAGCTACAGGATCATATCGCACTGAACTAGAGAACATGTTGTCGTCTCCCTCAATAGTTGCCGTCCCTGAGGGTCTGCAAGCTACTGTCTCCAGGCTGGCAGCTTACTACCTGACCTCAGAGAAACAAAGAGGGAATGTTCTGGACCCAGTGGGTCACTTTCATGTCACCAATGGAGCTGTTGTGTGGGGTCTGAGATGGGGTGGCACCCGGTTAGTTTACATTAAAGAGTTTAGTGCTCAGTGATAAATTGGGGGGGGGGGGGGGATAACATTTTTTTGTTTTTTTTGTTTAGGTAAAAGTAGTTTTTTGAAAAAACCAAAAAAGGAAGGGAAAAAAAGGAAAAAAACCAATAAAATGATAAAAATATAGCTCAAAATCGAAATAGCTACTATTAATTATAGTCTCTAGATTAATGTCCCTAAAGTAACCATATCTCCGCTCAGGAGTGTTGAGATGCAGGAGCAGTCACTGGGACTAATGGTCAACTACTTGTACGACACCTCCTCCCCCCACAGAGCGACCCAATACGCCTCAGATGACAGGATTATATCTGTGGGTCCAGCTGTCAGCAACCTGCTGCTTGATTGACATTTTTAGTTATAATGAAACGGAAAACGCTCGTAATAAAATGTTGCTTTTCTGGTCGGGACTTTAGATTTATAACTGTTAAACGATTTTTACCTAATTATAAGTTTTTATTTCATAATAGTGATAGATAAAATTCTATAAACGAAATATTTTTTCATTCTGCATTCTAAAAAGAAATTTTACGGTAATTTGTGTTTTTGAGTACCTTACTCGGGAATATTATAGCGGGTTAATTTATGACTGGGAAAAGTAATAACCGGGAAAAATATGGCGGACTTTCCCAAAACCCGCCAAATTATCCCGGTCATGTATTTACCGGTGGCCGACCTTTCGAGTTTTTTTTTTTCAGAGGTCAACAAATTTTCAACCGAAATTTCTGTTTTTGTTACTTGTTAAAGAAGTTATTTCAATTTACAGTTACTGATATTACTCAGAAATAGAAAAAAAGACACGTCTAGTATTTAAAGGAAAATAAATCTATAGCAATAATAAGTCAAATCTTCATTAAAGCGTATTCTCATTCTCATTATCGCTAATGTCCCCTCCATTATCATTATTGATATCCCCCTGCTGCTGACCGTCAAATTCGAAGTTGTATTGTTGTCTTAACAAGACTTTCATTTTGTCCGCTAATGGGGCTACTGCTCTGAAGGTCAGCCGGAGCTTAATTTCCTGCCCACCGCTTGGTATTGGGGAACGTCTTGGCTTTGCATCTTCAACTGCTCCAGTAATCAATCCACCGTGGACCATGAAATAGTGGCACAGTTTACTCACTTCATGGGCAAGAAAAGTGAGAATCACGGTCCACCCTGAAATCTGATTTCTATAACCAAATTGTGATTTTTATAACGAAATTATGGTAGCAACTGCCAATAAAGTTACAGCCCTCCATCCACTGCTTCAAAAGTCTTCTCTAGCACATATGAGACTTCAGGTAAAATATGATGATCACCACCCCCTTGGAACCCCATAATCTGAGTCGGCGGGTTTTTTTATGACTGGTAAAATTTTTGACCGGGAAAAATATGGCGGAATCTTCCAAAACCCACCACTTTATCCCGGTTATAATAATCCCGAGTAAGGTATGTCACTTTCTAAAGTGTGTGCGATATGATTTTTGTATAGAAGTTCAGATCTTATCAAATATTTCTTGGTATCTTCAGTATTGATTTTAACCGCCAAATTTAAGGATTTGTTTCCCTTCTGTGTAGAATTTTACAAGACAATTAAATACGCGGCATTTTTACTTGGAAGCTAATTGTAATTAAAACGCTAAAATGGTAACCATTTTTCCGAAAAAGATTGTTTCCTTTTGTTCATACACTTATTTTTATACTTATTTTAAGGATGGTATATTAACGGAACCTCTTGAAAGAATCTAAAGAAATGTTAGGAATGTGAAGAAACCGAGCTGAGATGAATCAGAAACAGGCTGTTCTACTGCCTCTGAAGCAGATAAAAGTACCGTTGGAGCTAGGTGAGGATACTGGTCAAAAACACGGAATAGCTGTGGAAGTAAAATCAGTTGTCTTTATTAAATATCACTGCATAGACTTATACACTGCATGGACTATCATGTAGATTATTGGAATTCTTAAGTATTTTTATGACCATAATAAATGAAAAGTCTGCAGCCGTCAAAATTCTCCCATTCGTACCGAAAATTAAAATTAGCCCATCCAATCGTTAAAGAGATAAAATCTTCTGTGAAGGTCTGCCAAATGCCAAACGCCTCATAACTTAAAACTCGCACATCGTCGACCAATATTCTACCTACGTACGCACAAATCTAAAAGTTTCCATGAATATGAAGATAACGATAAATTCAATTTATCAATAATCATATTCAAACCGGCTTCCTATCTCATCCTTCCCCCCGAGCGATTAATTAAATTTATCCTGTTACCTTGGCAACTATTTACCCTGTCCAGAATGGAAACTTGATCACAGTTCCCGGTCGAGTATTAACTAAAACGAGAGATAAACAGATAAGCGTTGATTATTAATTATTTGGATTTGTGAACCAGCCTACCGCCCAGGATGGAAACGGAAGCTGGTTGAAGAGTCCGGCATGGTTAACTCGGTAATACACTACATTAGCCCCCATGACAACAAAACCTTCTCTAACAAGAAACAGGTACAGTTATACACTACATTAGCCCCCATGACAACAAAACCTTCTCTAACAAGAAACAGGTACAGTTATACACTACATTAGCCCCCATGACAACAAAACCTTCTCTAACAAGAAACAGGTACAGTTATACACTACATTAGCCCCCATGACAACAAAACCTTCTCTAACAAGAAACAGGTACAGTTATACACGACATTAGCCCCCATGACAACAAAACCTTCTCTAACAAGAAACAGGTACAGTTATACACTACATTAGCCCCCATGACAACAAAACCTTCTCTAACAAGAAACAGGTACAGTTATACACAACATTAGCCCCCATGACCGTTATGTCTCTTTCTTGTAGAAGTACGTAACGTTATGTCTCTTTCTTGTAAAAGTACGTACCGTTATGTCTCTTTCTTGTAGAAGTACGTACCGTTATGTCTCTTTCTTGTAAAAGTACGTAACGTTATGTCGATTTCTTGTCGAAGTACGTACCGTTATGTCTGTTTCTTGTAGAAGTACGTACCGTTATGTCTCTTTCTTGTAGAATCCGTACCGTTATGTCTCTCTCTTGTAGAAGTACGTACCGTTATGTCTCTCTCTTGTAGAAGTACGTACCGTTATGTCTCTTTCTTGTAGAAAGTTACTGTGCGAGCTCTACTTTGTGTTTAACGTTAAAACTCTCATATTGTACTTAAAAGTATACCTTGTCCCTGTCAAATGACATTTTAATAGCAGGAAAAGCTACGTTCCCTGTCATTTTAGTAGTCTCAGCTACCCTCGACCCTCCATAGGCCGAACCAAATGTAGTCTGAAACACGTTTTTATGATACTAGTAGTTGTAACTAGTAGTATAGTAGTATAGTAGTAGTAGTAGTAGTAGTAATAGTAGTAGTAGTAGTAGTAGTAGTAGTAGTAGTAGTAGTAGTAGTAGTAGTAGTAGTAGTAGTAGTAGTAGTAGTAGTAGTAGTAGTAGTAGTAGTAGTAGTAGTAGTAGTAGTAGTAGTAGTAGTAGTAGTAGTAGTAGTAGTAGTAGTAGTAGTAGTAGTAGTAGTAGTAGTAGTAAATCTTTCAAAGTACGAAATATCTCTTTAAAAGAGCATCCTAGGCAAACATCAACCATCTTCTAACTTCTTCCACTCCTCCCTATCTAAAGCTAAAAATCTAAGGTCTTCGAAATCAGTCAAATTCTTAAGTCTAATATCAAGATTTCTACTAGTCAAGTCTTTTCTAATAACATCTAATAAGTTTAAACATGGTCTACCCCGTCTCCCTTCCATAAAAATATCAGAATTTATAGCAAATAACATAGAGGTGTATGCTGGTGAGTCTTCCTGTCCTCTTAAGATATGTCCTAACATTCTCCATCGAAACTTAGAGACTCTCACAGACAAGGGAGTGACATAACAACGAGCATAGAAATAACCCCAGTAGGCCATCTGATGTTGAGGATTCTTCGGAGGTGTTTGCGATGAGCAATATCAAGTTCATTCAACGAAGCTAGTGGTGCAGCCCAGGAGTTGCAGTTGTAGAGTAGAATAGAGACTACTTGTGCCTCGTAGATTTTGATCTTCCTTTGGACTGAAATCTTGCTCTTCATCCAAACTTTCTGAAATTTACTAAAGGCAACATTACCAAGGAATATTCGATTCTTGATATCCTTAACAGTGCACATCAACGATCCTAAAGTTTTGTTAGAGCGCCACTCTTCATCACCTCTATACACTTTTCCAACAATCACCTTGCGTTTAACAGTGGGTTTAGGATCTGCTAAATAAAAATGGACAAATTCAGTCTTGGAAGAATTGATATGAAGGTCCCACTGCTGGAATATATCTTTAGCGATAGGAAGCATTTCTTTGAGTGGAGCAAGTTCAGTGTTATTAAAGTCAATATCATCAGAGTATCCTGTTTCGAGTGGCATGAATTCTTCTGAGATAGGAGGATTAGGGATTGGATGATTCACTGGGTAAGGTGTTGATGATACTTGGGAGAGTACAGATCTGAGGTGAATAAGTGCAGCAGCTTCAACAACAGTAAATAGATTACCTGATAGTGCATCTCCTTGAAATGCTCCAGTTGTGCTTTGGAACTCAATTGATACAGTATTATTGACTTTTACTTTCAACACTGTGTTTGATAGTAGGAGCCGTACCATCCTAATTTCATCACTAGTACAGCCAGCATCTTCAAGAACATTGAGTACTGTTTCTCTGCTGATGGTGTCAAAGGCACTTGACATGTCTATACTCATTCTGTGGTAGCTCCAATGCTTTCTAAGTACCACTGAGGTTAGCATACGTTGAGACCAAATTATATCGCCACAACTTCTACCTCTCTTGTAAGCACTTTGTGTAGGACCGGTGTACTGATCTAGCTTGCCTTGGATACGTTTTAGGGTAATCATTGACAGTAATTTTCTGGAGCAGTTTGAGAGGGTGAGAGGTCTGATGTTTGCTGCTGGACCAAGTGGTTTCTTGGGCTAGTAGTAGTAGTAGTAGTATACCTGCGTAGTAGTAGTAGTAGTAGTAGTAGTATACCTGCGATGGTGCTTAATAGGATATTACATAAATATACAATATACAGGGTGTTTCAAAAATAATGTCCTGATTTAAAAAAACAATTAAACAAAATTTATGAAGGAGCAAAATGCCCATTATCGGTTGCCATTAGTTCATAAAGCTTACAAATTTAATTTTTTAAGCTCATTTGTTCCAGCGATTCAACTTTGTTAATTTTTTTGGCTCTGTTCCAAAAAGTCGAATTTTGAGACAAATGGGGTTCACAAAAGAATAATTTTTCGATATATTTGTTACGCTTATAACCAAAATTTGAAAAGTTATTTCATTTGTACTAAATTTGACGATAAATCAAAAACAGGACACTATTTATGAAACACCCTGTACATTATGATAGTCATATAATATTCAAACAATATAAATATTTTGATGGATCGTTTACACTAAATATAAAAATCCATACAAAAGAAGTCAATATTCTCTATTATTAATTATATTAATCAGTTATCTAATTTCTCCACTTTTGTTTTTGGCTGTGTTATTAGTGTATGAGGGATGGTTCATTTGTTCGTGCTTAATATTGAAATTGTGAGAAACTTGTTTAATGAAGATCATCGTAATTATATTTTACTTCTTATTACAGTAAAACCCTGATTTACCGCGGAGTTTGGGGAAGGAAACAACCGCGGTAAATCGGGGTTTGCGTTAAATCGGGGTTTTCTGTTCACATTATGCATGTTAACCCCTATTTGGGAGAAGGAAATAATCTAGGTTCTACTGTATATCTATTATCTAATATTCTACTAGGTTTAATAAGGTTTTTATATCTCTGATTCTACTCTGAGCAGGAACTCGTTAGCCTTGTCCATGTATATATAAGTGCTATATCATCTGCAAAGTCCAATCCTGCAGTATAAAATTAATTTCTTATCAGTTTTAATTAGTATTGCTGCTCTGCATCTGCACACCATGTTTATCAAGTCTAGGAGAGCATTTAACTTGAGCCGGGTTTTAATTCAATGACCGGTTGGATATATTACCCTGGGACTCCTAATCTTTCATAACCGTATTAGACTCTGTTATCTGAACATTCTTTATGTGGAAGAGGTCTATGATGTTATTTAAGTCACTTTTATTGTGTTATTTGGAAATGTATGTTTATTTCCACGGCACGCACACTTCTGTACTGATTGCTCGTTTTTTGTAGTTTTCTGTAGTTTTCCTACTAGTCTTATAGTGGTTAGGGGGGGGAGCCAAGTGGATATTTGTAGATATTTGGATAATGTCATCCACTTTTTTCGTGAATTATCCATTGACAATAATCTACAAATATCTACATTTATCTACAAAAAATGTATATCTCAAATATGTGCCCAGAAATTCTACTGAATTTTTGGAGATAAATGTATAAATTTGTAGAATTTGTAGAATTTTCGTGAATTATCCATTGACAATAATCTACAAATATCTATGTTTATCTACAAAAAATGTAATCTCAAATATGTGCCCAGAAATTCTACTGAATTTTTGGAGATAAATGTATAAATTTGTAGAATGTCATCCACTATTTTCGTGGATTATCCATTCTACATTAATCTACAAATATCTACAAATATCCACTTGGCTCCCCCCCTGGTTAATTGTTATCCGAAAAGATTTAATAACGAACAAATTTGAAAACATAACGTTACTTATTTATGCTTATATTTATTATTTATGCTATAATATCTTTGTGTATATTGCCCAATGTGGTCATATTATGATATATAAATTACTTCGTCCTAGAGTTTGAAGACATAACCCCACAGATATGATTCTTCTTTTGGTCCTGTGCTTGTTTGCAGCTGGCTCTGCTCAGCTGCAAACCATGCCTCCCCCCTTTACCGGACCTGATGGGGGATTTCCTTTCTCCGTGAACGTATTTGACATAATGGGCCCCCTGCTGAGTGAAGGAATATTCGGGAACCTGACCGAGAGCGACCTCGGACTGGATAACATGACCTCAACAGGGTTCAGCCGAGAAGTAGAGGCCGTGTTCAACATGATGCGTCCTGACGTCTGTCCTGATGATCCCAAGAAGTGTTCTTTCTCCATGATCATGGGGTGCACCTGCCGGAAAGCCTTCAAGAAGCTTGGTAAGGACTGTACCTCCCTGCCGTGCGACATGTTCACCTACGTGTCCGAGAACGCAGCTGGGTACATGAAGAGGATGCTGCAAGCGGAGAGTATCGGGGAAATAGTGGAGGTGGTACTTGAGGGAGTTGCACCTCTCTTGAAGAAGGTCTGTAGTTGCAGTCCTGGTGTTTACAACGCAGTTGAGACCTGTCTCACTAAATATGACGGGATGATGCTGGGAGACGCGGCGGCCACAAAGAACTTCACAGACAGCATGAAGGGGCTGGAGTTCAAAGCACTGAAGAAGGCACTTGGAGTAGCTAGCAGCGCACTGTGTGGTTCCAAGGAGGGTGAGTGTGTTGAGGACTTCAGTGATATGATGGTTGAACTGGCAACAATGTTCGATAGGTCCCTCGGAGAGACAGCTCCCGGTGAACAATGTCTCTCTTTCAGACGGCTAAATGCTGTTATCATGAATGTATACGGAGCTATTGCTGGTATAAAAGAAGATAAGAAAATGAGTGAAGCTAAACGAATGAACGCGTGGGTGAAAGAAGTGCTGAAGGTAAAAGAAGACTTCTGGTGTGGTGCTCCCGATTGTGCAGAGCATCTTTCTGAGGAGTTCGCTACCTGTTGTGTGAGGAGTGGAATAAAGAAACTAGACATGAAGTTCATGAAGAACATCATCATGTTTGCTAACAGTGCTGCAAGTGTCATAACTGAGATGAGTGGAGACGATATGAGTGTTGATGCTCTGATGGCTGCAGACATGATGAAGGGGAAGACGTTGAAAGCTATACTGAGAGCTGCAGATCCTTTCGACAAAATGTGTCCCGAGCTTTACGAGGATTTTATGCCTGAGTGTTACTAGACTGTTCGCAGATAATGAAAAACTGATTTTTTGTGATTTAGTATTATGCTATTGATATTTTAAGTCTGTAAACTATTGTAATTCACTCGCATTTATTCAAAAATCACCCATCACATTTTTTTGTGAAAATTTATAAACTATATATTTTATTTCCTATCATTTGCAATAAGCTTGTTTTATTGGTCACTTAACAGATTTTGGTTGGGGACTGGCCCGAAGTGCCAGCCAATGTTTCAGTTTACTCAAAATATAATGACAATATAATAATCTCATGAAATAGTAAATGCTGAATGAAATGGTATTGAAACCTAAATAATAATAATAAGACCTGAGTGGGGCTTAGTGAGACTGGGTGGGACTGGGTGAGACTGGATGAGACTGGGTGAGACCGGGCCGAGTATCAACTTCAAGTTGTCCGGTTTTACAAGATATATGTGCTTTTTGGTTCGCCCTTCTTTGGACCGGTCTGGTAACAAGAAAATTTCTTTGAAGCGTTGGTTGTTATGCTTTGGATGTAGGACTATAATTTGCTGACACGTGCACAACCCTCCTCAGATAAAAGAGTACCTGGAGTCACGTGGAGATGACATGTCCACCCTCTCCCCCGACTGGTTTGTGTTCTCTGCCGCTGCAATACTGGAAAAGGAGCTGGAGTATGAGACTCAAGGTGTGGATTAGTTTGATGTAATTTTTTGGAATTCTAATATTTTAAATCATATTATCCATGGTACTTGACTGTTCGGAAACAACAATCAAAACAACGAGGCCCATTATGTGTCTAAAGATGAATGATGAATGTACAGGGTGTTCACGATACATTGAAACGGTTTTAAATGTCTATACAAAAATTTATGAAGGAGCAGTCCACTATATTTTCCACTCATTTTCTTTGCTAATCGGTTAAGATTATGTTTAAAACCAGTTCAGATTCGAATATTATACATACAGCTCATGAAATTTCGTATATTATTCTGCAAGGCTCTTCAAACATGCTATTGTCAAGGCCTAATTTGAGAATGATCCGAGCCCGTTTGTCGCCAAAAGGTACCTTTAACTCACCCAAAATACAGTTTTCAGGTGTTCTAAGTTGTTAGATACTGGTCTCTTAAGTTCATATATAAACTTTATCAAAATCTGACGAAAAATGGCTGAAACACAACATAACAATTATGAGCCTAACCTTTAAGTTCATACAGGGCATACACGATAAAATATGATAGCTTTCAGCCCAAAAATTGGTCAAGTATCGATATTTTTATACGAAACCAATTTGATGTGAAAAATAAAACCAAACTACATATTATTCACTACAATTTTTAGCTCAATATTTGTTGAAATGTGATTACTAAGGCCAAAAAACGTTGAAAATCGCTAGTATCTCAGTTTTCGTCTTTCACAAGAGCGAATTCGCTCAATTCGTAATTTAACTTCTCCAACATTTTCGCATGACATTTTCAGAGTCAATAAAGAATCGTATTTTGGGCTCACACTATTGATCAGATTTTAGATTAAGGCCCAATGAACAAATTTTGGGGCCAATTTCCAAACTAGTTCTGGCAGAAACACTCTTCGCAGTTATCACATTAACAACATTATGCAACATTATGTTGCAGCACAATATTTGAAATTTTGAGAACTGTGTGACATTTTTGATATCTGGACTGGTTGTAACATAACTTTAATCGATTAGCAAAGAAAATTAGTGGAAAATATAGTGGGATGCTCCTTCATAAATGTTTTATAGACATTTAAAACCGTTTCAATGTATCGTGAACACCCTGTAAAATAGATGTAAATTAAAGGTCAAATATTTATAAAATAGGATAAAAAGGATTTAAAGATTACAAATCAACAAATCAGGGGACACATAACAGCTCATAGTTAATAATTACCTAGAATAACATGTTAACATAGTTAATAATTACTTAATAACATGTTAACATAGTTAATATCACAGTAACCAATTAGTTGTCCACAGGCGGAGAGAAGAAGCTCCTGAACCGAGTAGCCAGCGCGGCACTGGATGTGATCTGTTCCCGGTCCTGTCCGGGGAGGGGGGGTACTCGTCCCTCGCTCTCCTGCTCCATGTGCCTCACTTACTATCACCACAAGTGTGTGCAGATACCTGAGGAGAGTGTGAGTAACCGTAGTAACTTGACCCCCCCCCCCCCCCCCCCCATCTTGTGTGTGTTTGTGCCATTGTTTAAGTAACGTGTGATATTTGCATAACTTACCTTACTGCCCGCAGGACGACTACTTGTGCCAGGCGTGCACGCAGACCACTCACCTGCAACAGAAAACTAAGAGGAGACACCTGGAGTCCCCTGCTTTCACCTCCATCCCTGATAAACCTGTTCTTATTGTACTCTCCTGTTTAGAGGACACTAAGGACCTTATCAATGCTGGCCTGGTTAGTAGATTACATGTTTCCAGCTTCAAGTCCAGGTATCTTTGGAAGGTCTTCAATGGGGTATACTTAACCTCTCATAAGAAGCCTGCGCAGGCAAATGCGCTATTTGCACGTGCAAAATAGCATTTTTAAAGTCATAAAACCAGGTTTGCAAGCAGTGGAGGAGGGTTAGTAAGACTCCCTTCCTCTGGAAACGAGGTGCTTTGTCGAACGTAACTTTAACAGATAACTGGTCTACCTTCAAATCTCAGTTTGAGTTTCTCGTTAAACTTGATTCCAGAGGTATGTACTTTCAATAGTCGTCGTAGTTTTCTGCTCTTGGAGACTAAATCATTAAACTGTTTATTATATATTATACACTAAAAAGAGCAAGTTATCTCTACTTATATTGTAATCAATTTAAACACAGCAACAATTTCACATCTACAATTACATTCTGTGTTTCGTGAAGATTTGCTCTGACTTTATCTCTATCAGGAATGGGGTTCAGCACACACATGAACAAGGTATGGGAATCTCTAGGACCAGTCCTTGGCTCGATTCCAACTCTTAAGTTCATAACCCTGGGTTCAGTGACTGCTCCTGTTATCTCCGTTCTCCTCAATAACATCAAGGGAATCAAACACTTCGAGGTTTGTTGTGTAACTGATTTACTATTTACTGTTTCTGATGCGCTGTTTCGAATTCTGATGTTTTTAGAATTCGGATTTATTTTATTGGCCATTGAACTGTTCCTTAAACTATTTACATTGGGTGAAACATTAACAACTTTAGATAATTTTTCAAATCATATCCCCCCACCAGGCTCAGTACATAATCCACGACTCCACGCGGCGCTACAACGACAACAAGCAGGTGAGTGAAGTGGAAGTGGAACCGTGTTCCTCCCAACCCCACCTCCGCCACCTCTCCCTCTGTAGTCCCACTCTGCTGAAACTACCCGCTCAGTCTGATCTCAAGTTGCTCAGGAAGTTACAGAGGTTACAGAACTTGTCCATTACCAGCTTCGTACCGGGTGGGTGGACTAGTATTCTTAGAATTTACTAGACTACTAGTCTTAATAGTAGTATTAATACTATTCTTACTTCTTAGAATTTACTAGACTACTAGTCTTAATATTAGTCTTAACAGTAGTCTTACTACTAGTCTTACTTCTTAGAATTTACTAGACTACTAGTCTTAATACTAGTCTTACTACTAGTCTTACTTCCTAGAATTTACTAGACTACTAGTCTTAATAGTAGTCTTACTACAAGTCTCCCTAGTCTTACTTCTTAGAATTTGATTATCTGATGTTATTAGTTATCTCACTTTCTTTTATCAGCTCGTTCCATAACTTTATCCAATTTATTAGCTTTTATTTCCAAGGTAAGGGGCTATGTTGTACTACTAATTGTGATTAGCTTATTAAGGGGGGGGAGGGCATTGTGAATTAGCTTATTAAACCAAGTGTTCTTTATTTCAGGAAGTCTGGATAAGGCGGGCCTAGGATTCATATCTCATCTGAGGAACTTGTCTGCCCTGCAGCTGGGTTCCTGTTCTAACTGGGCCGCTGATCAATACAGTGTCCTCAGCAACCTTACCAACCTCAAACATCTCAGGTACACGTCCTCAGCAATCTTACCAACCTCAAACATCTCAGGTACACGTCCTCAGCAATCTTACCAACATTAAACATCTCAGGTACACGTCCTCAGCAATCTTACCAACCTTAAACATCTCAGGTACACGTCCTCAGCAATCTTACCAACATTAAACATCTCAGATACACGTCCTCAGCAATCTTACCAACATTAAACATCTCAGGTACACGTCCTCAGCAATCTTACCAACCTTAAACATCTCAGGTACACGTCCTCAGCAATCTTACCAACCTTAAACATCTCAGGTACACGTCCTCAGCAATCTTACCAACCTTAAACATCTCAGGTACACGTCCTCAGCAATCTTACCAACCTTAAACATCTCAGGTACACGTCCTCAGCAATCTTACCAACCTTAAACATCTCAGGTACACGTCCTCAGCAATCTTACCAACCTTAAACATCTCAGGTACACGTCCTCAGCAATCTTACCAACCTTAAACATCTCAGGTACACGTCCTCAGCAATCTTACCAACCTTAAACATCTCAGGTACACGTCCTCAGCAATCTTACCAACCTTAAACATCTCAGGTACACGTCCTCAGCAATCTTACCAACCTTAAACATCTCAGGTACACGTCCTCAGCAATCTTACCAACATTAAACATCTCAGGTACACGTCCTCAGCAACCTTACCAACCTTAAACATCTCAGGTACACGTCCTCAGCAATCTTACCAACCTTAAACATCTCAGGTACACGTCCTCAGCAACCTTACCAACCTTAAACATCTCAGGTACACGTCCTCAGCAATCTTACCAACATTAAACATCTCAGGTACACGTCCTCAGCCATCTTACCAACATTAAACATCTCAGGTACACGTCCTCAGCAACTTTACCAACCTTAAACATCTCAGGTACACGTCCTCAGCCATCTTACCAACCTTAAACATCTCAGGTACACGTCCTCAGCAATCTTACCAACCTTAAACATCTCAGGTACACGTCCTCAGCAATCTTACCAACCTTAAACATCTCAGGTACACGTCCTCAGCAATCTTACCAACCTTAAACATCTCAGGTACACGTCCTCAGCAATCTTACCAACCTTAAACATCTCAGGTACACGTCCTCAGCAACCTTACCAACCTTAAACATCTCAGGTACACGTCCTCAGCAATCTTACCAACATTAAACATCTCAGGTACACGTCCTCAGCCATCTTACCAACATTAAACATCTCAGGTACACGTCCTCAGCAATCTTACCAACCTTAAACATCTCAGGTACACGTCCTCAGCAATCTTACCAACCTCAAACATCTCAGGTACACGTCCTCAGCAACCTTACCAACCTCAAACATCTCAGGTACACGTCCTCAGCAATCTTACCAACCTTAAACATCTCAGGTACACGTCCTCAGCAACCTTACCAACCTTAAACATCTCAGGTACACGTCCTTAGCAACCTTACCAACCTTAAACATCTCAGGTACACGTCCTTAGCAACCTTACCAACCTTAAACATCTCAAGTACACGTCCTCAGCAACCTTACCAACCTTAAACATCTCAGGTACACGTCCTCAGCAATCTTACCAACCTTAAACATCTCAAGTACACGTCCTCAGCAACCTTACCAACCTTAAACATCTCAGGTACACGTCCTCAGCCATCTTACCAACATTAAACATCTCAGGTACACGTCCTCAGCAATCTTACCAACCTTAAACATCTCAGGTACACGTCCTCAGCAACCTTACCAACCTTAAACATCTCAGGTACACGTCCTTAGCAACCTTACCAACCTCAAACATCTCAGGTACACGTCCTCAGCAATCTTACCAACCTTAAACATCTCAGGTACACGTCCTCAGCCATCTTACCAACCTTAAACATCTCAGGTACACGTCCTCAGCAATCTTACCAACATTAAACATCTCAGATACACGTCCTCAGCAATCTTACCAACCTTAAACATCTCAGATACACGTCCTCAGCAACCTTACCAACCTTAAACATCTCAGGTACACGTCCTCAGCAATCTTACCAACATTAAACATCTCATTATCTAAACAAAGGTCTAATTACAATTACAATTACAGGTCTAACAATAAAGAATATGTTATACATTTCTCTCAATGAATGATTATGTTACACTCACTTAACTGATATCACAGTATCACTATGTCGTTTATCGTTATAATAGTAGGTATTACATTTACCATTGTTTCAGACTAGAGAGTGGTCCCTCAGAACCTACAGTAGGACTGAGCTCAGCCCTGGTGAAGCTCCACCAGTTAATACAGCTAGAACTGATAGCCTTCCCTCTCCACGCTACTCTAAACGACGCCATCACACAGCTCCCCAAACTCAACCTCCTGAATCTGGCTCCAGCAGCCAGCAACAACGAGCAGTTAGCTAGTTAGTCGAGCCATTATTCTGTACTTTTAAATCATTTGTTATTTAGTTTGCTGGATTTGAGCCAAATTTCTAGAAATAAATACTAATAATTTGATTGCTTAAGGAAATTGTTTCAAATTTATATTTACCAATTAATTTGTAGAATAAGGAAGTACCCATAATCGAGATATGTTGCACACCATGCGTACATGCCATGCCAATCAATATCTCTACAAAGCTCTAACAGCAGGCCTCCCCCTAACAGCAGTATCCCCCCAGGAATGAACCAGATCCTGTTAACAGTTATGAGGTCAGGTAACAACTGGTGCGGGGAGTGGGGAGCCGTTATCTCCCCCCCCCCCCCCCTCTAACAGCAGTATCCCCCCAGGAATGAACCAGATCCTGTTAACAGTTATGAGGTCAGGTAACAACTGGTGCGGGGAGTGGGGAGCCGTTATCTCCCCCCCCCCCCCCCCCCCCCCCTCTAACAGCAGTATCCCCCCAGGAATGAACCAGATCCTGTTAACAGTTATGAGGTCAGGTAACAACTGGTGCGGGGAGTGGGGAGCCGTTATCTCCCCCCCCCCCCCCCCCCCTCTAACAGCAGTATCCCCCCAGGAATGAACCAGATCCTGTTAACAGTTATGAGGTCAGGTAACATCTGGTGCGGGGAGTGGGGAGCCGTTATCTCCGTTAACAAGACTTGTCACACTAACACCCTGGTGATACCGGTACTGCGGGCTTTTGTAGCTGACAGCGTGCTTTACAAGGTGGGTGGTAGGAAGTTGGTGGGATTGTTTTTCTGATTCATCTTGCTTGCCACTTTTGAAGATTTTTGAAGATTTTAGTGATTAGTTCACTTTTGGAATCTAACTCTTACAATTCAATAACTTTCCAATGAACACAACACCTCCTATTGCAGGCAGCATCTAGACGAGGTCAAGGAGACATCCTGATGATTAATGTGGCGGAAGCTAAACAACTCTTGGCTGAATTTCTCCCTGAAAAGGGGGTGTGTGGGGTGTACACGCTATCTAAAAACACTTCTCATTGGATCAAGATGTGTCACTGAACTAATCTGATGAGGTACAAGTTCGTTTTGGTATTGAGATCTGACAGTTGTTCCGGATTTAAACCATTGTCTCCGATACCGTAAGACCGGGATTCGACCCCCCCCCCCCCCTCCACTGTCTCCGATCGTTTTGGTAGATAAGAGTGCCGTCTTGGTGGTGGTGTCCGATATTTCTACCTATCCTGGCATCCTGTGGACCACGTCAAAGAATTGTCAGATCAGTTCTACTGAGCGGCCTGTCTTGACCCCCCTCTAATGACTAGATCGTGGATTGAACACCGATTAAATAATTAATTTTATGATTAATTATATTTATAGACATTGCTCCGATAGCTCAATATGTGGCTGAATACTGCTGACTAATATGAAAATCGGCTGATTCTTTTTTTTTTGCAATTTCGAAATCAATTTCTCAAACTGTACAGATTATGCAGGGATAATTGTCCTACTTTGTCCTTTTTTCTTTGAGCCTTATTCTTGTATAATTTATATGATTATATTTTGAGTAAACATTGTCTGGTTCTACGAGCCAGTCCCCAATCAATCGTGTGTACTTATTGGACGCAGGTTTTAGTTTCTAATCAAAGTTTTCCGTTTTGATGTGTTAAATTTACCTAAATCACAAAGAAAACTGTACTATAACAAAATTAAAACAAAAAATCCCAATTTCATTTCAATCGTGTTGATATCTCTTTAAGTTTTAGCTCTCATCATATTCATAATTAAAATTAGGCCATTGTGTGATTGTGCAAGTTAAATGTTCCTTACCAGCATCGGGGGGGGGGAGTAATGACTACTTTTGGGGACTTGGGGAATTACGTCAACGATTTTACCCCGAGTCCCCATGATTTTTAGTCCCCATTAGTCCCCAAAAGTCTCCATTAGTCCCCATTTAGATTTCAAAAAATCTGGCTTCTCCAGACCAGATCGTAAACTTCTCAAGACTGAAGTCTAGAATATTTATCAATGGTCACTGGACATTCCTGACTTCTTGGGAGCTACTTGAGGGCTGTTAGAGTACCTCAGGTAAATTAAGGGAGGGGGCGGGGGCGACTACCAATGACAACATTGAGGAGACATATTGCATATATACGCTTATTTTATCAGATTGATCTAGTAACACGAGTTGTAGCGCAAGGAAAATAAACGCATTATCAAGGGGCCAGGGGGGGGGGGCAACGCCCCAAAAAGCCCTACACATATAAAAAATCCGAAGAGGGCCCTAGAAATCGGGGCTTTTTGGGGCCTTTTGACCCTGTATTTTTGGCATGAATTTTGTTCAATTTAAAACAAATATACACGAATTTGAAAGATGTGAGAGGGATGTAATTCTTTTCATACTCGACTATCTGACAGAGAAATACATTCACCGGGGGGGGGGGGGATTTCAGCATCAGCATTCGATCAAGAAAGCGAAGCTGAGAGAGTGCAAATATCAAGATTGTCAAGGGTCGGGTCAAGTTTGTTTCGCAAAACTATACTCCAGCAAAGTTTGCTTATCCTGTACAAACCGGGGGGGGGGGGGGTCCAACCCGATTTCCACATGAGTGTTGATGAGGCAAAAATCGGAAAATTGAGAAATTTACAGAATCGATCTCAAAAACCTCTCAAAAGGGATATAAGTCCTCCTCCTCCTTAGTCTTCCTCCTCGTCCTGAGTCCTCCTCCTCCTCCTCCGATCCTTCTCAGTCCTCCTCCTCTTCAGTCCTCCTCCTGACTCCTCTTCCTCATCCTCCTCCACCTCCTGAGTCCACCTCCTGAGTCCTCCTCCTCCTTCTCCTCCTCCTCCTCCTCGTTCTTCCTCTTCCTTCTCCTCCTTCTCCTCCTCTTTCTTCTCCCTATCAGTCCTCCTCCTCAGTCCTCCTCATAGTCGACCTCGTCCTCGTCCTCCTCCTGGGTCGTCCTCCGCCTTCTCCTCCTCCTCCTCCTACTCCTCCTCATTCCTCCTCTTCCTTCTCCTCCTCCTTCTCCTCTTCCTTCTCCCTATCAGTCCTTCTCCTCAGTCCTCCTCACCCTCCACCTTAGTCCTCATTCCCCCTCCTCCCCCTCAGTCTTACTCCCAGTACTCCTTCTCCTCCTCCTCCTCCTCCTCCTCCTCCTCCTCCTCCTCCTCCTCCTCCTCCTCCTCCTGCTCCTCCTCCTCCTCCTGCTCCTCCTCTTCCTCCTGCTCCTCCTCCTCCTCTTCCTCCTCCTCCTCCTCCTTCTCTTCCTCCTCCTCCTCCTCCTCCTCCAGTGTGACATAATCATGATTGAGTCGATCCAACGCTCATTCACTGCAAAAATAGCAGGATACAAGTATCTTAGCTACTGGGAGCGCCTGAAGCAGCTTGATCTCTACTTCCTACAGCGCCGCCGCGAGAGGTACACGATCATCCTTGTCTGGAAAATTTACTACGGTGAGATTCCCAACAGTGTAAACATTACTTTCCAACACTCTCAAAGAAGAGGAGTTACATGTCTTCGTCCTCTTGGCGGATCAAAATACAAAAGCACCAACACCATGAGGTTTCATTCTTTCCCTTTAGTGGCCTCTGCTTTGTATAACGCTGTGCCTCACGACATCAAGTCTATCCCAACCTTGCCAAAAATCCTCCTCAGTCCCCAGTCCTTCTCCTACTCGTCAGTCCTCATCCTCAGTTCTCCTTCTCCTACTCCTAAGTCTTCCTCCTCGTCAGTCCTCCTCCTCCTCCTCAGTCTTCCTCCTCCTCCTCCTCATCCTAATCAGTCCTCAGTCCTCCTCATCCTCCTCAGTCCTCCTCCTCCTCCTCCTGCACGTCAGCCCTCCTCCTCCTCCTCCTCAGTCCCCAGTCCTTTTCTTACTTGTCAGTCCTCATCCTCCTCCTCATCCTCATCCTCCTCCTCAGTCCCCAGTCCCCCTTCTCCTCCTACTCCTAAGTCCTCCTTCTCCTCCTCCTCAGTCCTCCTCCCTTCCTTCTCATCAGTCCAGCCCCAGTCTTCCTTCTCCTCTTCCTTCTCATCAGTCCTCCCCCAGTCTTCCTTCTCCTCTTCCTCATCCTCAGTCCTCCTCGTCATCCTCCTCATCAGTGTTCTTCCTCCTCCTTATCCTCGTCATCAGTCCTCTTCCTGATCCTCCCCCAGTCTCCTTCTCCTCCTCCTCCTCTTCACTCCTCCTTAGTCCTCCCCCAGTCCTCCTCTTCATCAGTCCTCCTCCTCAGTCGTCCTCCTCCTCCTCCTTAGTTCTCGTCCTCATCCTCCTAGTCCTCGTCCTTAGTTCTCTTCCTCATCCTCCTAGTCCTCGTTCTCGTCATCCTCAGTCTTCTTCCTCAGTCTTCTTCAGTCTTCCTCAGTCCTCCTCCTCCTCCTCAGTCCTCAGTCCTCCTTCTCAGTCCTCTTGCTCCTCAGTCCCCAGTCCTCTTCTACTCGTCAGCATTCTCCTCATCATCCTCCTCCTCATCCTCCTCCTCATCAGTCCTCCTCCTCCTCAGTCCTCCTCCTCAGTTCTCCTCCCCCTTCTCCTACTCCTAAGTTTTCCTCCTCGTCAGTCCTCCTCCTCCTCAGTCTTTCTCCTCCTCCTCCTCCTCTCCAGTCCTTTTCCTCCTCCTCATCCTCCTCAGTCCTCAGTTCTCCTTATCCTCCTCAGTCCCCTTCCTCTGTCCTCCTCCTCAGTCCTCCTCCTCAGTCCCCAGTCTTCCTCCTGCACGTCAGTCCTCCTCCTCATCCTCTTCCTCCTCCTCCTCCTCAGTCCTCCTCTTCCTTGGAAGTTCAGACTGACAGCACGGGTAGAGATCAGAGCTTAAGTCCCCCCCCCCCCCCCCCCCCCCCTAATATGCAATATGGTACAACATTAAATTTTATAGCTCCACCCTGTTAGATCATTGCTTTTCTCTATTTGATAGTGTTTATGGACCACATTCTCCATGTAATACACTCAAATAAACATAAAAGTACTGTGCAAGTAGTCAGATAATATCATTTAAGCACTTAGCATATATCAAACTTGATGAAATTGAAGTTAATTCTAGGGCCCCAAAAGGCCCCACACAATACACATATCGAAATCCATAAAGGGCCCTAGAAATCGGGGCTTTTTGGGGCCTTTTGGGGCGTTGAAGTTAATTCTAGGGCCCCAAAAGGCCCCACACAATACACATATCGAAATCCATAAAGGGCCCTAGAAATCGGGGCTTTTTGGGGCCTTTTGGGGCGTTGCCCCCCCCCCCCCCCCCCCCCCCCCCCCCCCTATCCATTTTTCTTATTACTTTTGTATTGATTTGTCTGAAATGATATGCTCAGTAATTTGAAATTGGCGTTGGTTTCTTTTGTTTTTGACGATCATTGATGGAAATATTCACAAAAGAGTGCTTGTCAGTGCTTAAAATAAAGATCATTCAAGTCTGTTCACAGAACGGCTGTTATAAATACTCATTCACCTTGATTCACGATTTCAATCCTTCGCAGCTCGGTGAGGCACAGTGGTGCATCTCGCCGATCTACCGAAGTGGTTGCGAGAAGCATTATTTGATGCGCGCGCGACCCAGTAGTGCATCGCGCTACAATCATTCACCCATCATCTAACATCTTTAAGTGTATTAGGAGGGTAAGTCGAAGGGTTAATTCATGATTTTTCAGCGAGTCGGCTACTTCTACCTACTTCTACCTTCACGAGAGCTAAACTTCAATTAACCTCAATTTGAACTGACTTGTACAGTGGTAGAACACATTACAACCGGGCTTATCATTTTACTTTTAAGTCAGATTTATCCTACTCTTATCTTGGACAAAACATCTCGATCGTATTGTTATTAAACTAACTTGAAAACCATGAATAACTGTCAAAAATTCTGGGGACTTATGGGGACAAATGGTGAATTACGTCAACGAGTTGACCTCTAGTCCCCATGATTTTTAGTCCCCATTAGTCCCCAAAAGTCTCCATTGGTAGTCATTACTCCCCCCCCCCCCCCCCCCCCCCCCCCCCCCAGCATCAATAGTCCCATTAGCCTCTCTGTCGTAATGTTTGATGATATTATCGAAATCAACCGCTGAGAACCGTCCATGAGGTTTCAGTTTCTTCAGGAAGTTTCCTTCGATATTGAATAACCGCGGGAAATCCTGAGCAAAAGTGGAAAATCTTGAATTTCTGAATGGAACAAATTGGGCATATTGATAACTTAAGAACGTGGTCTCATTAAAAGCATGGGTTCGCTGCGTTGCCACATCGTGTCAGGGACTGACGATGAGGATCACGACGTGAGACAAAAAATTCAAGGTTGATTCGGAATTACAAATTTTATTACTCACAAATATGTCCAAAGTAGAATCCCCCCTCTAATGACTAGATCGTGGATTGAACACCGATTTTTATCTCAATTCTTATTTTACTTCGGACATTCCAACAGCCACATTGTTACACAAGTGTGTAACCAGCCAATTACAGGAAGCCGAAGGATTCAATTATACATTAGGCCAGTGACGGTTAAGGTAGTGTGTACCATACTTTCTTCGCCCGAGACTTTGCTGCAATGGGCAGCTCCTCATTTAACCCTCACACCCGATTTCTCGAGTATTTGGCTGAGTGGACCGGGGGGCTGCATAGACCACTCAGGATCCTTAGCTGAGCGTCGACGACGCTCACCCCACGGCTAGTGGCAGAGTCGGGAATCGAACCTGGTACCTCAAGCAATACCAGGCCTGGATTAACCAACTGAGCCACTAAGCCGTTACCAACTGAGCCACTAAGCCGTTAAAATTAATTAATTAAATAATTAATTTTATGATTAATTATATTTATAGACATTGCTCCGATAGCTCAATATGTGGCTGAATACTGCTGACTAATATGAAAATCGGCTGATTCTTCTTTTTTTGCAATTTCGAAATCAATTTCTCAAACTGTACAGATTATGCAGGGATAATTGTCCTACTTTGTCCTTTTTTCTTTGAACCTTATTCTTGTATAATTTATATGCTTATATTTTGAGTAAACATTGTCTGGTTCTACGAGCCAGTCCCCAATCAATACTTATTGGACGCAGGTTTTAGTTTCTAATCAAAGTTTTCCGTTTTGATGTGTTAAATTTACCTAAATCACAAAGAAAACTGTACTATAACAAAATTAAAACAAAAAATACAATTAAATTGGGAAATGTCAATTGAACATGGTCTGGCTTCCTTATCTCGAAAAAGTTATTGTGCAAAATAAAATGAATAAACGGATTATAGTTTTTTGATGTCCTGAAACGTTATCAAAATAAGCTAACCAGAGCCATTAAAATGTAAATATTTTCCAAGTTCCTGACATCGATGCAATGCTCGATAGGGCAATTGCTGACTTTTTAAACATATTTTCGATATCAGAAGTGATATTATTGTTTATGAGATTATCGTGTACCTCATTGGCTTAAGCTAGGTACTGCGCCATCGACAGTGAGCCGTGCGTGCTGACTGTAGGATGGTTTTTTAGCGCTAATTTCGGCCAGCACAATTTTCTTCAAACAAATAGATATTACGTATCCTTCCCGACCTCCGACAGCAACAAAAATTAGTCAGCTTACTCATAGACTTACAATTAAGGAAAGTGTCCGAAAAGTTTAAAGCATATCCAACCATCAGACATTATGTTACAGCTAAAAGCAGCGTATTTTGCCCCATTTTGATCACTATATCAACTCCGATATCCACCAAATTTTTCGGACAGTTGTGAAAGCCCTATTGGAAGGTCGTCGCCAATTTTCAGAATGATCTCATTCAAGGAACTGAAGATATATCCAAATAATACGACAAAAATCAACGAATTTTGTCAAATTTGGTCAAATTACGCGACTTTTACAGCTAATTTTGCTCCAAAAGCCGCGCACCATCAAATATGGCACCTAGGCGAAACTCACTGATCTTTTTAAAAAGGTATGACAAATTTGGTATTGTGAAAATTCTCACAGTCTCTAGAAAACAATGGTACAAAAATTTTTAAAATCCGAGCAAGTTTATTTTTATGGTGCACCCCCTACTTAAGCTGTAAACATTTCTCAAAAAGCCCTCTTCTTAAACACATTTTCGATATCAGAAGAAAGGAAAATAATATAATTATTGTAGTCAAACATGGACTCACTCAGTAGTCAATAACTAAATTGTTAAATAACAAATAACAGTTGTTAGCAATTCCTGTACATAAACATTCTTCACATTTCGTAAAATAGACTCGTGTTTTGAGCGATGACAAAATTTCTACCATAATAATCGGTAAACTTCACTCATATAACCAGACCCAAGCCGTAATCACCTTCGGATGCAATCAGCATCTTTTCTTAATTCAAAATTTACCAAGCAAATTCTTCTGGTGTCGTTGTTTGTCCTCCAGAGCACTGATTTTAACAAACTCTCTACCTATTCCTGAACCCGGGGCGTTCTGATGAGCTAAAACTACAGTTCCTAACTACCCCATCCTCTGTTTTGGCAGCTGTGTGAGAATGATTTTCAGGTCCTCAGTCCCCAACTTTTGGAGGTTTGTCTTCTCGCAGAGCTCGAGAGCTGCATCCACCATTTCGAAGAGTAGCTCTCCGTTTACCCTGATGTCAGCGTATTCCAGCACATCTGCTATGAGCGCCATCAGTTCCCCACCTTGGGAGGGTATAGAGTTGACGGCCGGATGTTATTCGCCGCTTTCTTCTCGAAATAGCCAGAGGCAAGTGCTACGCTACGAAGTAGCGCGCTCCGGGTTAATCCATGAACAATGGACAAGTTTAAAGTTATTACTATTAGTGATGATGAACAGGATTTCAGTTACAGCAGGGTTTAAGCGGGGGTTCACCCTGAATTTTTTGTGAAACTTGGTCTCGAGATAGCAGTTGACCAACAAACTAGGACCGGTGACCGAACTTTTGAGGGGTCCCGGACCCCAACCGCCAAACGGTGCCCGCGGGGCAGCCACGCCCATATTTGGTCCAAATTAGGCCCAATTTAGCCAAATACCTTAACGGGTGATACTCGTAAAATATCTGTTCCATATATTGGACCGTCGACGAGTCCAACTCGGCGCGCGTCCTGGTAGGTTGTAAACCTACAACAAATACCCTGAACATGCCCAAAAACCAGATTTTAGGAAAAAAATGACTAAGTTATGACTATGAGCCAAAAACCATATGATCATATTTGGGCATAGAAATGTGTCCGAAAAGTTTAAAGCATATCCAACCATCAAACATTATGTTACAGCTAAAAGCAGCGTATTTTGCTCCATTTTGATCACTATATCAACTCCGATATCCACCAAATTTTTCGGACAGTTGTAAAAGCCCTATTGGAAGGTCGTCACCAATTTTCAGAATGATCTCATTCAAGGAACTGAAGATATATCCAAATAATGCGACAAAAATCAACGAATTTGGTCAAATTTGGTCAAATTACGCGACTTTTACAGCTAATTTTGCTCCAAAAGCCGCGCACCATCAAATATGGCACCTAGGCAAAACTCACTGATCTTTCCAAAAAGGTATGACAAATTTGGTATTGTGAAAATTCTCACAGTCTCTAGAAAACAATGGTACAAAAATTTTTTAAATCCGAGCAAGTTTATTTTTATGGTGCACCTCCTAGCATACGCACCAAATTTGATCGGTTTTGGTTGTATCACGTGGTGACCCCCACGGTCGCTTCACTATAGTGTTTCGACGATACAGGGGGAGCCGCGCACTCGTGCGCGGCGGGTCATACAACGTATGACAAGGTTTTGGCCCATAAATTAGTCAAATATCAATATTTTTGAATGAAACCAACTTTATATATGGAAGGTAAGCCTATACTACACATTTTCTTTAATTATCAGCTCTGTATCTTGACGGATGTTACTCGTCTAAATTTCTTCGAAGTAGCGCGCGCCGCTTTCTTCTCGAAATGTTGGCCCGATGGCAAGTGCTACAAAGTAGTAGAGGCTCTTACGGGCATTGTCTGCTCGATACGCTAGGGACCCCAGATACACCTTACTAGACGTATTTTTACCGTAGAAACGATTAAAAGTAGTTTCAAGATGATTGGACTGATTTTTCTTGGTTAAAATCGCAAAAAACCGATTTTTGGGCCAAAAAACCATGTTTTTTTGATATTTTGAGCAAGTTAATTTTGTTGGCATATCGGCAAAACTTGCATGGATATAGCTAAAAGACAGCCGCACAAGATGGTATAAAAATAAAACAAATCCCTCTATTTTTTTGAGGTAAAAATCCAAAAAAGTGGTAAAAATTTTGACTTTTTTGCTTGAAGTTTGAATTATTTTTTTGCAGTTGTATTAAATCAACTCAAAAATAGTCACATCGTGTTTGCCTAAATTTTTCCTTTCTGAGAAGTACCCACTTCATATACTTTATCGAAGTTTGAATATTGTCACTCCGCAAGCGTTTTTGCCAAATTTTCGACGCGCACTACGCGCAAAAGCATTTAGTTGTTATCAATCGGCACCCGCGCGTTCATCATAAATTTCAAACAGCTATAACTCAGCGAAATTATGTCCGTTCTAGCTCATATTTTCACACCAAATAGAAAATGATGTGATCTTATTGCTGACAAAATATGAATATAATTTCTCTATTTGCCTTAGAGTAATAGACTGTCAAAGTTTAAAACGCGCATTGGTATAGCACGTGACTAATAAGGCCAAATCTATACTTCTTAACATGTTATCGATCCTTAGACATCATACTATTGTGTCCAATTAGCGGTTAGGTCTCTAAACTCGTAGCAGAAAACACGCCTTTTTGCCCGTAAGAGCCTCTACTAAAGTAGCGCGCGCCGGGCCAGATCATTAACAATGGTCAACTCTGTATCTACCTAACTGTGGATTCTGTGTCCAAATAATCGCAAAAAATAAACAAAATCGTCCATATCTCAGTTTGCGATATTTGCAAACACTGATTTCGCTCAAAACAATAGATCAACTCAATAGGGTTTTAATATTTTTACATGACATTTTCAGAATCAACGTAGAATCGCATTTCGACCTTAAGTTTTTTATTGGAATTTTGAGTTAGGCCTTTAAAAAAAATGGTTTTTGGCTCATAACTCAGTCATTTTTTGTCCAATCTTGATGAAAATTCATAAACGAGTTTAAGGGACCACTAGCTCAAAAGTTCGGTCACTGGTCCTAGTTTGTTGGTCAACTGCTATCTCAAAACCAAGTTTCACAAGAAAATCAGGGTGAACCCCCCCCCCCCCCCCCTTAAGTTAGTGAACAGAGTTTCAGTTAAAATTATCCCAATTTCATTTCAATCGTGTTGATATCTCTTTAAGTTTTAGCTCTCATCATATTCATAATTAAAATTAGGCCATTGTGTGATTGTGCAAGTTAAATGTTCCTTACTGCTTACCAGCATCAATAGTCCCATTAGTATCTCTGTCGTAATGTTTGATGATATTATCGAAATCAACCGCTGAGAACCGTCCATGAGGTTTCAGTTTCTTCAGGAAGTTTCCTTCGATATTGAATAACCGCGGGAAATCCTGAGCAAAAGTGGAAAATCTTGAATTTCTGAATGGAACAAATTGGGCATATTGATAACTTAAGAACGTGGTCTCATTAAAAGCATGGGCCCGCTGCGTGGCCACATCGTGTCAGGGACTGACGATGAGGATCACGACGTGAGACAAAAAATTCAAGGTTGATTCGGAATTACAAATTTTAGTACTCACAAATATGTCCAAAGTAGAATCGTCATCAGCGTTGAACAGAGCGAGTATGTATCTGACACAGTCATTGCAGTGATCCTCTGGTGCCCCTATCTCATCTGCAAAGTCCTTCACCATCTTGTAGAGGGCATCTTGGGAGATCTTTCCTGACTTGTCAGTAGCGTACCTTGTCGGGGTCAGATTTTACAATTCAGGGGGATTAAAATCAGTTTAATTGAATTGAACAGCTGATGCTCTTGAAACAGGATATATAGTAGATAACCTTCAAATCCGTACTTATTACAAAATAAGATGTACGCCTTCTTTTTACTATCTTGCATCAGCTCAATCTCTGGAATCTTGTAAAGCTCTTCAGCTTCTAAAAACGTACCTATTTAAACTGTCCCTAAATGAACTTGAGAAACATTATCGATAATCTAATTATTATGTATTATCATTAAACAAAGCTACTAACTTGAGGAGCAGTTCGAAGAACTCTACGCTAGTGATCTGCTTTCTACAGAAGCTGATGAACTTTAGGAAGAGCCGTTCCTTTTGTGGCAGCAGCAGTGCCAGATCTGATATCTTGATCCTGTTGTCGTTGTTCTTTATCTGTAGTTCGAATGCTTCTACCTGACATGGTGCATTTTGTTATTGCATGGAAATTTCAGAAGGTTTAAACTTTAAGCTCTATACTTAACAGTTGGCCTATTAAATTGAATTATTTTCATAATTCCCATTTCTAATCCGTACATTCATATAACTACAAGTAAGATTATTATTCTATTTTCTAACCTCAGATCTCAGTTTGTTGATATTGATCGTATCGTCGTTTCGTAGGGCATCATCTACATACAGTGTCTTAAAAAACTCTAGCAGTTCAGTCTGGAAATAAACGAGTTCACCCCCAGTTTACCAAAACTAAAACCAATCTTATCAAAATTCAAATTATATTAGATATTTGACGTTCACGCTTCAAATTCAACGTCTTTAGTATATCTTTTTGGGGAATTTAATTTTTGTAAAATCGTGTCATTGCTTTTCTTGATTATGCTAATATAGATTATAATGGCTATTTCCTTTAAAATAGGATGGCCGATCTATGACAGATATTATAGATGTCAACTAACAGTATTTTTTAAATTATCTTACCGCTTTGATACTGCCATCTTCATCTATCTTGTGGCTGTCCAGAATAGCCCTCACGTACTCTGCCTTCACTGGATACAGCTCTAGGATCTTCGTCAGCAGTAAACCCTTGTCTGTCATCTTGAAGAACTCTAACTGAAATATAAAAGATTATAATCTTTGCTGTATTCTATAAACGGTGTTACTTTTCTCCAATTACTTTGATTACCTAAATCATAAATAAGCACGAACTTCACAACTGGAAAATGCAATTATCGTTATCAGTTTTACACATGGCTTTGGCTATTGTATCAAAATTACACTAGTGTAATCATTTCGATACCCCCGCTCGGCTGATTACGTGATATGCGAACGACTCTTAAGTCGTATAACTATAGTTATACTGCACAGCATTTAGCATTTATGTCGTTGATCAGTTTTGAATATTAAATTTAAAAAGATCGCCCAGGCATTTTTCTAATATATTTTAATCGATCGAAAAGTATTTATCTTTAATCGGACGTTAAAGCCGCGCATTAATTCAGTTGGTCAGGAGTATTTGTGGTCCACGATCTATCGTGTGATCATAAATGACTCACTGCTTCAGCAGATCGGCCAAGGTATACCAATTATCAGCTTGATAAAACCGCTATTTTCAGCATGTTTACTTTAAATTTAGAATGGTCCTTGGACTTGGTAGTTCGATCGGTTAAAAGTCCTGTCCGTGGATTTTCAGATTCTTCATTTGATTTCATTCGAACTTTTTTTTTGTCTCCAAGAGCAAGTGCCATGACCCTAGAACCTAGTTCAACGATCGATGACCTTCTAGCCATATTGTGACAACTTCCTTAGCTTGAAAAAAATTCCTATGAAACCACGGTTGGATTTTATAAATTCCAACTTTAAAATCTGATCACCCGCAAAGTAATATGTACCCAGTGATTTATCTTTTTTTGTCGAGTCAAAAATAGGATTTTAAAAGCTCAAAAGTAGTTTAATTTTTGTATTTACAACTTGAACGCACAGGTTCGCCGTTATCGAACGAAGGCTACTTTTCTAAATGGAACATGCCTTAACACTCACTGTGGAGTAAATCAAAATGTAAAATACCCGGCCCGACAATGAATACCTTACAAATACAAACTCAGACATCAGAGAATGCGCAATGTTAGTGTTAGTGTTACCAGCTCAATAACATTAACCTTCAGAACGATACATTAAACGGTAAACAGATCATTAATTGAACATTGAACTGTCAGTGAGTTGGCTCTCGCAACTACACACCGAATAATTACATAATAGATCATCAGAACCGTACAATTTAACGTATTATTAGCTTCCACCGTGTACATCCAATTTTGGTTTGAGGATATTGGATATTGTCCAGGAAATTAATAAAATGCTATATTATTGGATTTGGAGAGGATTTATTTTTTCCCGATCCATGACTCGTGCCGAAGGCACAAAAGAGTCAAGGACAAGGGTTAGCGATCGAGGTTTTTTTTGTATATGGTAGCTTTGCGAGCGTGCCTGCGAGCGTGCGTGCGTGCGTGCGTGCGTGCGTACGTGCCTGCGAGCACTGTTATCGCCCACGTGACTATCTGCGCAAAGTTATTTTGCGTGATAATCTGAATTACATAATTGTTGGCGCGCGGCGCTGAACCAACCAAGTACATTATTAATTTCATCATGTACGTATCCCACTAGGCACTAATTGATAGCATATTATTATTATTTTGAGTTAGTATTACTATTGTCTATTACTATTTTGCACAGATCCGTGTCAGGTTGCATAAACAATAAACATATGGTTACATAGAAGTATACATACATACATACATACATGGTAAGGTCTCCTCCTAGTCGTTGGAGTGGCCTGCATCACACACATCGCGTTGGCGGCGTAACATATGTCTCCACTGTACTCGGTTGGTAGCCAAAGCTTCTGTTGTGTTGTTGTCGATGTTTTCAACACCTGTAAACTTAGCAGCATCTTCGAGTACGCAGGACTTCCAGTTCTTACGGGGTCTGCCCCTTGACCTCTTTCCATAATTTGGCTTCCAGTTCAACAGAAACCTCGGTAGCCTAGAGTCTGGCATTCTAACTACATGTCCATACCAACGTAGCCTGGCAGCACTGATGAAAGTCTCAACAGACTTGATGCCAGCCCTCCTAAGAACTTCTTCGTTGGTCACATGAAAGAACCATTTAATCCTAAGGATCCTTCTCAAGGAGGTTTGATGGAAAACCTCGAAGCGTTTCATCTGCTTTTTGGTGGTGTTCCAGACTTCAGCTCCATACAATAAGATGGTGAGGACAGCAGCCCTATAGATCCTGATCTTGGTTGGAGTCTTTATAGTTCTGCTATTCCAAATGTTCCAGAGCTGATGAAAGGCGCCATTAGCCTTCTGAATACGGACATCCAGGTCTCTGTTGATTGTCCCATCCCCACTGATAGTTGCACCCAGGTAGACAAAGTTACTAACCTGCTCGACGGGTTCACCCTCAACCGACAGTTCAATACAATCATCCTTGATGAAAGGTCGCTGGGAGGCGCACTTGCTTACAGCCATGCATTGGGTCTTCTTTGCATTTAGTCTGAGCCCAGCGTAGGAGCTGTAATGAACTAATAGATCAGTTGACTCCTGTAGGCCTTCCCCTGAGTTGTCCATAATAGCCATGTCATCAGCATAGTCGGTGTCCAGAATGACCTTTTCCTCGACCGTCTTCATCTCTTTCTGCAACACTGCGCCTTGACTGATGATCTTGTTGGTCTCAGCCAGAAATGCAGAAAAGTTTAGGCAGAAATTAAAGACAGGAGGTGCTTGAATGTCACCCTGACCTGTGCCTGAGTTAACATCAAACCAGTCTGTCAGCTCCCCATTAACCCTCACGGCACTCATGGTACCCCCAAAAAATGACTGAAATATTCTGACATATTTTTCAGGCAGCCCATAGTGTCTCATACTGCACCAAATAAAGTCCCTTCTGATAGAATCGAACGCTGCCTTGAAATCGACAAAATTAATGTAAAGAGGAATGTTAAACTCAAGACAGTTATGAATAATAGTTCGGAGAGAATAAATCTGATCAATACATGAGCGGTTCTGTCTAAATCCGCACTGATTCTCCCTGAGAAGACACTCCATACCAGCATGTAACCGCTTAAGAAGAATCATCTGAAAAAGCTTTGATGCTGTAGACCTTAAGGTGATCCCTCTGTTGTTCCCGCAGACTGAAGTGTCTCCTTTCTTCCCAATAACAATGATTACACCCTTTAACCAATCTTCAGGAACAGTCTCTTCTTCCCACACTTTCTTGAATAGACACTCTAGTTGATCAACTAGAGCACTCGCACCATACTTCAGTTGCTCGTTAGTTATCCCGTCCACTCCTGGGCTTTTGTTGTTCTTAAGCTTTGTCAGGGAATAACTTATCTCGTCTCTGGTGGGTGGTCCATCCGAACAAGAGAGAGAGTCAAAGTGTGGTTGGAGTGGTACTGTATCAAGGTCGGCAAGGTCGACACTTGATAATGGAGGGTTCAGAAGTTCAGTAAAGTGCTCCTTCCACCTATCCCTCTGCTGTTGGGGATCCGTGATCTTCCTACCGTCCTTGTCCCGGACACAAGATGCTTGAGGCTTCTTGTTCTTACCAGAGATCTTCTTGATCTTTGCCCATACCTCACGCTGCTGACCTTTGCTCGCTGCTTCCTCAAGATCAGTAGCTACTCTAACTGCCCAGTTATTGTCGTCTAGCTTGCTGCTTTTCTTGACTAACTTATTAAGTTTAGAATACTCTGACCTGTTAGCGTCCGAGTTTGGGTCTTTGCGCTTAAACTGTGCCCGCTGAATCAATAAATCCTTTGTTTTCCGTGACAGGTGTTGCTCCTTTGCCTTCCGGGGTCTTTTGCCTAGTACCTCCAGTGAGACCTCAGTGACGGTCTGACTGAGATTACGCCACATATCCTCGAGGTCGACCTCACTATCCAGACTTGCAAATCGGTTTTGAAGAGCCACATTGTACTCTGTAACCGTAGTACTATCCCTCAGGCGCTCAATGGCAGGCACATTGGGCCTGTTGGCGTTGATCTTTGTCACTGACTGAAGTTTGATTTTCAGCAGTCCTAGAACCAGATAATGATCGGAGCCGATGTCTGCCCCGCGACATACCCTAACATCAAAAAGTGACTGACGAAACCGCTTTCCAATGCAGATATGATCTATCTGATTGACGGTGAGCCCGTTGGGGGACCGCCATGTTCCCTTGTGAATGTTCTTGTGCTCGAAGAGAGTTCCCCCGATGACAAGCTGGTTCGTCGCACAGAAATCCACATGTCTTGTCCCGTTGTCATTTGATGAGCTATGGAGTGATTCCCCACCGATGACCGCTTCACTTCCATATCTGCCTGATGTTACTTTTGCATTAAAATCGCCGAGCAGTAACTTGATATCGTGACGAGGTAGCCCATCAAATGTATCTGTGAGTGTCCTATAAAACTTATCTTTCTCACTCTCCTCTGCACCCTCAGTTGGAGCATAGGCCACAACAACAGAGATGTTGATTTGCTTACTATGCAGCCTAGCTGTTAAAACCCGCTCCGATGTGGGAGTGAACGATATCAGGGAGTTTCTGATTCGTTTTGAAAGACTGAGACCGACTCCCTGTCTCTTGATCCCGTCGACTCTACCGGAATGGATGAGTAGACTGCCATTGTCCAGTAGAGTGGTGCCAGATCCAGGCATGTGAGTCTCGGTGATCCCCAAAAGATCCAATCTGTACTGATCAATGTTTTGACTAAGTTGGTAGAGCTGTGTAGATGAGCTGACAAGAGATAGAACGTTCCATGTTCCAAAACGTAAAAACTGTTTGCAATAATTTACTGGATTGGATTTGTTGAAAGCAGGGTCAACATGGATGATCTGTTGACTAATAAATCTGGTCGGATGACGAGTACCCCCTCTTCTCATCAGGCGAAGTATACACGATTTTCAAATTCAATATATATACATATCACCGGAGACTCGCGGGCGGAACAAAATATTGCACGCGCACGCGCGTGCAATATTTCATATGTCCCCGAGGGCGCTAGCCCGAGGAGGACATATTTTCGTATAGCACGGAGGGCCCATCGGGCCCGAGTGCTATACGATTTTTCC